ATTTTCTAAACCAGGTTATAATGTTTTAGCTGTTTTAGGTAAATATTACATTTCTTCAACAAGCGTTTGAAACTTTTCTAAAATGTTTTTCTAATTATAGTCTCATATTCTTCGTTTTTTACCTATTATTTTATGATGCGTGATTAGATGTTTTGCAGAGTTTGTTCGTATGTTGGTTGGTTCCAAATGTTTGAGTTACTATATGAACTAGGAATCCATGAAATAATGCACTTTTATTCAGACAGATCTGAATGAGTGCAAACAAACGCATTGTATCTACAATTTAAAATCAGGCACACATTCATTACCAAGGAATATTTAGTTTGCACAAACACCACAGAAGTTTCCTTACTTGCCATTCACTCTCTACTTTCTGGTGTTTTATCTAGTGACACAAACTACCACGTGATATAGAAAGTCCTTGTTCCTAATCAATCCAAGGGTGGCAGTGTGGCTCTCTTACGTTCACAAATACACCAGTCTTCCATGAACCACATACAGGAGGTATAGTTGTTCGTGACATCCAACTGCAACCTTTTGATTCTGTATCCATGTGGTGTTTGAATGAAATAATGATCACGTTGTACTTGTTGAATGCTTGATTTCGAATATAAATACAGTACATTCGTTTGTGATTATCTAGTACTTCTTGATCTGATTACGTTCTCGGATTCTTAGTTCATACTATAATTCCAATACTCGTAATAATCACATTGGCGTCGCGACGGAGCCTGTGATGGAATTGTTGGATATACATTCAGATTTTTATGCTTTTGAGGATTACTTTGAAAGGTTCGAAATTTGGGCTATGATCGAGGAAGATGATGAGGATAATAATATTGTAGCACATTTCCTCACATTCATCGGAAAAGAAGCATATAGCTTATTCAAAACTCTGGCTATGCCGGAAAAGCCCATTTCGCTTTCTTTTACAACTCTCTAGGATCTACTGCTTGACTATGCAAAGTTTTTGGTGAACTTTGATAGAAATGGAAGCAACTTATTAATTCTACGTTAGTTTGGTTCGTAGGCATCTTTTATGTTTCAAGAAACCTCTGGTTTTTGATTGAAATTTTCATTTCGTTTTAGGAAGACCTAACCGGCTATGAATATTCATGTCTAGGACAAGAGAATAATTTAATCAAAGTCATTATGATTTATGCATCGAAATGTCCTAAGTCATATCTTATTGACAACTGGTTTCTCAAATCTTTAGCGCCTGTCGAACATCAGTGTGCTTTAGTTCTCAAGTCTTGGCTAAAGATGACTATTAAGTTATTGCGTGACTTAACAACAGGTAGCTGAATGTAATTCACGTTATTTGTATCTGTACCTTGGTGGTCAATCTGCATCGTAATACACTTTTAAATGGTTGCGTGCAAGAACATAAAGACTTGGGATTGATAATAAGTCATGACCTGAAAAACAACTACGCACTGCAACGCAGCTACTTTAGTATTTACAAAACAAACAACGATAATAGTGCATTAAAACCCATTTATAATAGTAAATCAACCAGTTTTAATATCTTAAAAATATACAACACTATCACACTGGGTGTTACTCCTTGGGTTGGTAGAAGTTGTATCTACAGTTCGCTCTGTCTTGTTGTGTCTCTAATTTCTGGGTGTTACCCCTTAGGTTGGTATTGGGACTAAGCTTGAGTAGGTGTTTATTAGGATGTCCAGAAGTGTTAATAATGCTGTAAGCCATCAGAAGGCCACCTCTAAGACGCCTATACTCTAATGGGTAAAGGTCAAGTGATTGGAGGCGCTCTTTGTGAGGTTTAAATTTGAGTCCCCGAACTGACTTCATGGCTCGCCTTTGGATACGCTCCAAAGTGTCTTTATGCTTTTGGAGTGAGGGGAGAAATACTATGTTTCCGTACTCTAAATGATGACGGATAAAACTGTTGAAGATTATATGGGAAGTTCTTCCGTCAAACTGGCCAAAAACGTGCTTCAATGTTACCAGTGCAAGGTTTGCTCGAAAGGCATTTTGTCACATTTAGCGTGAGACTTCGGATTGTAGAGCACCAGGACTCAAAAATCCTTTTCGATTCAAGATGCTACTAGAGAGGAGTTTCCTAAGTTATAACTGTAGTCTGCGACATGTCGCAGATGGACTACTTTACACTTTGATGTGTTAAAGGTAAGTCCATTGTCGTCTGCCCAACTTCGAAGTGCATGCATATCATATTTGTTGCATATCTCTCTCTAAAGTTTCACGTCATCCGTAAATAATAACACGTCTGACGATACCTGTTGAGGAAGATCATTTATATAAATCAAGAAGAGAAGAGGTACTAGTACCGAGCTCTGTGGGACTCAAATAGGACATTCCATAGCCTGAGATAAATTGAAGTTAACCCTGACCCTAAAATGTCGATTTTTCACATATTCAGTGAGCCAATCAATTAGAGGTGGTCTGATACCTAATCGTTTGAGCTTATTGATAAGACATATATATGGTTGACCCTGTCAAAAGCTTTTCAGAAATCAAGGTAAACGATATCAACCTTCTCCTTGAGACCAAGGATGCTCGTCCATCTGTCCACCGCAGTCAGCAGGTTGATTATACAAGAATAACCCTACCTGAAACCATTCTGTTGGAGTGAGAAGAAATTTAATCACAGTAAATGGTCATATATACCATCGCATATTAGGGACTTCATGATTTTTGAAGGAATAGAGAGAAAAACCACCGGTCGGTAAGTTGCAGGTTCGCTGAGTCAACCTCTTTTAAAATTATTGTGATGTGAGCCAGCTTCCAAATTTCCGGTAGTTTTCCTTGACTTAGCGAGTGTAAAAACATCACTCTAAGCGGTGTTGCTAGGATTGAGGCTGCTTCCCTCCGAATAGCAGAATGAACCATGTGTTCGACTGGAGGAGTGTCTTTTCTTAGGTGCTGCAGTTTTCGGAACACCAAGCCAGCGCTCAGGTTCACTTCGGAAAGTTCTGTGCAGTTGCAGGTGGAGCTTTCACCAGTATAGCTGATGTGGGTCGGTTGAAATGTCCGAGAGTATTATTCAGCCAAAAGGTTAGCGGCATCGCTGTCGTTATTGGTTGGGACATTAGGACCTAGCAGTTGGGAAACTCCAGTTATGGTTTTTCAAACAAAGGCATCATGACGGAATAAGCTTTTCGGATTAGAGACAAATTTATCCATACGCTTTGTCTGGTACTGAAGCCTGTCTTCTCTTATAGCCTTCGTGCGTATGTTCCTTATATGTTTGTATTGCCTGTACGTGCCGTTGTTATCAGTTCGTTCATATTCTGCCCAATAGTGCCTTTTGAGGCTTAGCAGGCAAAGAGTGCGGTTCTTGATGACTGTAGGTTGCTTGTAGCTTTTAGGGACCGTTTGAGGAACTGGCTAGTTTGTAGCACATGAGAGCGTGTGCAGTAATAAGTCACAATGAGTATCCACATCGAGTTGAGGGTGAACATCCCAATCCACCTGTTGTAGATAGTCCTGTAGAGCTGATACATTCAACCGTTTGAAATTCCAGAGCATGTTGTTGGTGGGATATCATAGTTCATTTTTGCTGACAAAACTAAGAGCTATGACGGCGTGATCGCTTTTCCACAAGGGAGCCAGGATTGAGAGGTTGTCAATGAGCAATTTTTTGTTTATAAATAATCAGTCTAAGCGTGACGATATCTGTCTGTTTCTTCAGCGAGTCGTATAATCCCACGTCCTCAATGAGTTTGGAGAACCGAGCTTCAGTTAAGTTTTCACCTCTAATATACGTATGTTCCGCGAAAATGACTCTAGGGAGATTGAAGTCCTCTAAAATCAGGGAATGAGTGAATCCGAAACGAGTAGAGAGTGATAGTTCTTCCAGCATACGACTGTCATCCTCGATGTCGGCAGTGGGCCTCCTATATATGACTCCGACTAGGCACCTCGAAGTAGTAGACAACCTTAAAGAGCAGTATATGGATTCCTCAAGATTGTTAAACTCGAGGTTATGAACTTGGTGCACCTCCAAGCAAGATCGTGTGTATACGGCTACTCTACCTCGAATTCCCGATTTCCTGTCGTTGCGAAACAAAGACATCACAGGTACTGCTAACTCCTGGTTCGAGAACTGAAAATATGTCCAAGTTTCAGTTATCCCTATCAGATGAGCCTTATGAGTATTGCTAAGTTCACGTAGCTCATCCATTTTGTTTGGTAGACTCGCGGCGTTCATGTATAAGCAGTTTATGCTTTCAATTTGAAACGTGTGAGCTTCTTGTTGTTTGTCTGTGTGAGCCTTACGTGAATGGACAAATAGCCTACCTATATAAGGTTTGTCGAGTTGGTAGGCCTTTTCCTTTACACATTTTTATCATCAAGACAGTCCACAAGTGAAATGATCGACTCCGACTTGCCTTTGTGCTTGTTCAATTCCCCTCAGAGCATCCTATCATCTTTGTCCTGCAAACTGAGAGAAAGGTCAGGGTTGTCTCTGAAGTTTATAATTATGAGAGAGTCATCACGAACCGTTATTTGCCGACAACTGCCATTTTTTTAGATTAGTCAGATAGTTTCTCCAGGTCATTTTGACCCTGTAAACCACCACATTTACTTTTTATCTTGACTTTGTCGGCATACAACAAAACCGATGATGTTAGGATACCAGGAAGGTCATTTACACAGGAGAAATAACACAAGCCCCGAAAATGTACCCCGAGTCACTTCGCTAATCACAGTTTCCCAGAGAACTTTGAATTCATGTATCACGACTTACTTTATCCCTGCTTGTTTTCATATACATAGGTTACTACGGTGAAATAACGGTCATCAGCTAAAGCTGGACATAGAAGCTAGGCAAGTTGGAGTACGGGCGTCTTAGAGGTTCCTGCCTGAGGTATTGGTGATCCATTGCTACCAGACGTGGAAGTCCGCTAAGCGAAAGCTTATTCTATTCCGTCCACAACCATTTGAAGTAAAAGCTCTTCCTACTTTGACCACAACAATTGATTCTGTTTGTTTTGATGAGTCGATTGGATTTACGATCTAATTGGTAATCTGGCGTTACATGAAAATGTCCAAAATACCATTCAAGAATGATGGGAGTTTTATGGAATTGTTCAAGCAAATGCAAGGTAATTATCAAACAGTTATGTCTTATTCCTCTAGCTGAACAAGAAAGAGTATCTATTGAGAAGCCTGTCATTCCGAATGTAGCTTCATATATTTTGTCCATTTTTCTGTTTAGGTAGTTAAGGTAGAAAATACGGATGAATTTGACAGGTAGCTTATTCTCAACCAGTAAAATATTTGTTTTTAGCAAACAATGCAAAACGGAGAATGAAACAGGTAGTTGCTTTGTGTGAAATTTTTATCTCTCTATTCTATGAATGGAATTCTAAGTGCCATATTTCCAGTTATTCCCGATGATTCAAAGGTTTTGGTGGCAATCGAATCGTTGGTCCTACGTGTTTCTGGTATGTCCCACAGTCTTTGCGAAGCAGAAATAAAGAAGTTTGAGGATAGCATACAGTATTGGTACGTTGGTTTTCGTGATCCTAATTCATGTTCTCCTAGGTTCCTGACGCTCCCAGAGACTAATGAATACAAATTCTTTAGAAAAAGATTGGCTGATGTTCGTAAGCAAAAGACACTCAGTAGTTCAGTCAGTAAGTTTGCGTTTATCGTATTTTGATTTATCTTTGCCATGATACACAGCCAGCGGGCCTGTACCGTTCACGAGCTGCATTATCAAATTCATAAATATCGTAAAAATTAATTGGTGCAGTGTTTATCAACGTTATATTTTAGGTCAATTCATAGTCGTGGCTTGGTAATTTACTCAATAATGTACCTCTCGAAGTACGTGTTTGCGCACGTTGCCCAAGACTGCACAGTGTGCCATTGATGTCAACTGCTTACACCAAAATAGATTAGGCTTGAAACTTGTCGTTGGGAGCCCAATACGGTAAGATAGTCGGCCACTTGTACAGTTCATGGATAAAAGGCAGGTTATTCACATGAAACTAGTTAAAGTTGTAAATTAAAGTTAATTTATCCGAAGACTCAACTATTTCGTTGTATCGAAAATCCGGTTTATAGGCTCAGAAAGTGAAGCTCGCGAAAATATGCAAGTTTCCATGTTGTGCAGTCGTAACTTCCTATCATAGTGACTAAGACTATCAGATAATTTTATGGCATATTGATCGAATGTAGATATACTGCAAACGATGGGGACTATGCACGTCAAAATGCAAAGCTATTTGTCCTGGTGTTCATGTGTCATTTTCAAAACTATGATTAGTGCTTTGGGAAGGGATCAGAATGTAAAAAACTTCACACACTGTTTATTTTAAAAATACAAAGTGTATTCTAAAGAATGTTTTCATTTCAGAATTAAAATAATATGTGATGCCTATCATTCCATTCTTCTTAGTCTTGTCTCCTTGATTTCACTTCCATGAAAGTTTGTTTACTGCTATTAAGTGATCAGTTCGTACTCATCGGTTTGTCTTTCTGCATTATTCAAATGTTCGCCCTCAAATTGAGTCGAATTTGGGGTAGATAGTAATTTGGCTTCGTTAACTATTCCGTCGTAGTGACGTTGCCTAAGAAGAAATGTAAGAAAATGTTATGAATTTTTTTCACCAATTTGTCTAAAGTACTGGTCAAGTGAACAAATCACCACTACACGAAAATGAGCCAGCCACGTTTTGACTAGACAATAATATCAGAAATGTGGCAAAACCAAATCTTTATATGTTTAGATATCATCTATGTGTCGTAACACTCCGTTTAGAGAATCGATTAAGTGGAGGCAGCATAGAGTAGAATAAGTTATATAAATCCAACTATATTGTGCGGAACTACATTATTAGTATATCATGCATCAAAGTTGAAACTACATCAAGTTTGGATTCATTATGGTCAGATTTTGTCAAAGTATGTGAAAAAATAGCAACCAGTGGAAGTAATAACACTCGGAAATGAATCACTTTAAATATCACCTGGAAATAGGCTAACTATTATTTACGCTTTTATTTTTGTATTTAAATGTTTTTAATATTTTAATCCTTGTATCACTGTCAGTTGTGTACAATATACAATCTAACATGTTTAGTCCAAGTTGCTATACTACAACACAGGGAGATGAATTTAAGTCGAATTCCGGAGTATTAAACTAGAAGCAGATTATGGGACTCTGGTTATCAGGGAGGACAAAATGTGAATGCATCTACGTCATTTTGAACAATCCTGAGCCATGTCACGAAAAGTCTGACCACTTGTCAATATAGTTGATCTACACATGTCTACATGATTCAGTCCAGTTTCGTGACTTTGCAGCCTGATGCCACGTCTTGGTTTAACCGTCTTTAGCGTTCTCCCAACCTACTTCTGCACCAGTGAGCGTCATTCGTCAAGTTAGGCAGTGGTTAGGTATACGTAATAAGTGTTCTAATCATTAGTTGATGAAGACCAACAACCTCACCAACCAATATGTCGTCTTTGCCAAGTGCCCTATTCCTAACCTCAGCATTGCTCACTCTGTGGTCTCAAAGTATTAGGGTTATATCTCAAAAACTTTTCATCGAATAATAGTAATCTACGAATATCCTCTATTTCTAATGACCATGCTCCATTAGGAGTAACAGGCCTAAGTAAGTAAGTATGTTTCACATCTGAAAAGTAGATCAGTGCTAAATGTTGCTCAGTAAACTCATCCTTTTGTCGGCAGATGGATATCTCGCCTACGCTACAAGAGTCGTAAGTTGTTAAAGACCAACCGAGCTTTTGGAATCCTTCCCGTAATTTCATCAAACAGCAACTCACTAGAGCTAGTGAAACGTTCAAGGTGAGTGAGGCGGTTGACGTGCTTAACTACTTCACCCCCTATCATTAAGGGACAGGCGCAGGCCAGTCCTGAAGCAATAGTTTGCATTTGGAGGGAGAGAACCGTATCCAAAACTTCCCTGGAATGTTGCTTAAGGTGGTGGAAAAACTGGATTTTGTCAGCGTCGTCATCAAACTTCAGTATACTATGAATACGTACTTCGTTTAAAGATTATAAAAGATAAGAATATATAAGAGTTAGACGCTCTGCTTTTACTGTAATAGCAAGCTTTATGTTAACTAGTTGTTTGGTACTGTCCTTGTAGCTGCCATAAACATGACTTAACGTTCACCAGTAATACTAATATTTGATGGGTTTAATGGCATTCAATGAAGTCAATAAAAAAACACTCAAAAATCTGGTCTTTGCAATCTGAGTCAAGTCAACAGCGCGACATCTGTGTAAATGAAATCACTGATATGTGTGGTGTATGTTGCTTATGCTAACAAATATAAGTAGTATGTAGCAGCAATCGGAAGTAGAATATCTGCCAACAGAAGATTGAAATAAATAGAAGAGAAAGGGTAACAGAGAGAAATTGGAATAAAAACTGAATTGGAAGAAGGAAGAAGTATGTACAGGACAACTGAAAATGTGCAAATAATATATTTAATGTATGAGTTTCATACTTTCCAAAAACACTGTAGTTTTAAATAAGAACTTTCGTCTGAATTTGAACGAAGTTTCACAATATTTGGGTGCCGAGTTAATGTGAGACATTAAAAAGGAAGAATGTATTTGTAAAATCTCAGCGAAAGAATTTGAAGTAATTCCAACGTTTCGCCTGGCAATCTGGCCCAAGCTCTTTCAAGGAAAATATAATCAAACAACAAAATTATCGAATATAAATAGGTAAACCGAAGAGCCATGCACCTATTTATATTCGATAATTTTGTTGTTTGATTATATTTTCCTTGAAAAAGCTTGGGCCAGATTGCCAGGCGAAACGTTGGAATTACTTCAAATTCTTTCGCTGAGATTTTACAAATACATTCTTCCTTTTTAATGACTGTAATTTTGCATAAAATAAATTGGTTTTTCCCACCAAGACCACTCACTACATAAGATTCACTATCTTTTACAATTACTATGCTTGTATTTGTTATCTTGATTTATTGGTATCTACTGTTCTACCTGTCATCTTAGATTCTCTCTTATATAGAATAACGATATGAGTACTTGGTCGAGCTCAAAATTGTCATTAAAAATGTGAGATCTGTTATTTAACTACTGCGTTATTTGGGGATCTAAGCAGATATAAAACTACTTTGTTGTCTTAGCTATGTTTTCAAAGTGATACACGTTTCTCGGATGTCGTAAGTCTCACACTAGGGTTATATATCGTGTGCAAGATTGTGAAAATTTTGTTCTCTGAGCTGGATGATTTGGTCATGGAGCTCAGAGAACAAAACTCCACCAAAATCATCCACCTGAGTTACAAATCTTCTCCACCATCTCAATATTGTGAAAAACAATGGGTCATTGCTATCATCAGACTTATTTTTTTAAGTTAGGTGATAGGTTTTCACTGATTTCCAGATGTGCTTGAATGTAAGATTTATTTTAAAGCATTTGATCTAGATGTGCTGTTAACAATCGGTATTTAGTAACAGTTTATTTAGAACTTCATGTTCAACAACACATTTTTGTCTTAGAACCTGAAACTGTAAATAATTGCAAATCAGAAATTGATGAATTTATCCCCACCAAAAGACGTCGCTCCAGATGGGACGAAGAGACCAATGAACCTAAAATAAATGGATCAGTAAAAGATTTCCCGGATGGCTCTTTGGCTTCTGCGATTGCACTAGCAAAAGCTGCTGCAGCTGCTGCAAAAACTCAAGGTAACTTTATCAAACTTATATTTCTTTTTTGTTTTCAGCAATATGAACGTGAAGTACCTGGTAACAGAAGATTAACGGAAAGTAGACTTAGTTGTTTTAAGGGTTGACTTAGTTGGGATGAGTAGTTATTTCAAGATTATGTCATCACTATGACTCGGCATGTAGGACGCCATTATGCTAAAAAAGGTAAAGAATAACCAAATCGATGATCGAATTTGGTATCTTGCTCATCACCCTGTTTTCTATCCCAAGAAGCCCAACAAGTTAAGCATTGTGTTCGATTGTACAGCTCAGTATGCCGGGACGTCTTTGACACAAGAATCTTGATTCTGGACCTGATTTAGTCAATAACTTAGTAGATATCTTGACCAGGTTTCGGCGACGACTAATAAGTCTTATGGTGGACATTACAGCCATGTGTCACCAAGTAGTAGTTCCGCTACACGATCCAAACATTCAGATATTTGTGGTGGTCAGGAGGGGACTTAGAAAGGAGCCAGTGGTCTATATAATGAAACTCCATCTGTTCAGAGCAACCTCATCGCCATACTGCGCTATGCTTGCTTTGCAGAAAACGACTTATGATCATCAAGATAATTTCCTCAAATGTATTACGAAAGCATCCAAGGGACAGTTCTATGTGGACGATTTATTGGTAGTTGTAGAGACCATAGGAGAAGCCCAATTGATATATTCACATTTCAAAAGCATTCTAAACGTAGGAGGATCTAACTTAACTAAATGGACTAACAGTGCCTAAGTTCATTCTAGAGGAAGACCGTATTGAAAGCAACACTTCCGTTTGTGAGTCCAACGAGGCAAGTAAACAAATACTGGAGTTAAACATCCGAACTGACGAATTGTATTTCGAAGTTCATGCATTTCATAAAAACTCAACCAGAAGAATTACTTTGACGTATGTAGCATCTATTTTTGATCCAATTCGGTTTATAGCTCCAATAGTATTGCCAGCCAAAATGATCTTACAAGATATCTGTCAACAGAAACTAGACTGAGGCACATAGCTACCCAAACGAAGTGTAACATTTGGTGTAGGCATATAAAAGAGTTGAGTGCCTTAATACCAAGATATCTAAAACCAAAATTTGAACCATTATCTGTTCAAATTCTTTGTTTCGCTGATACTTTCGAGCTTGCATGTGGTGCTATCACATCTATTCTTTATGATAGTTTCTGGTCAAAGCAACTGCTCATTTCTGCTGTTATTATTATTTATTATTTAAACAAACATTGGTACAAGGACGAGCCAAATATATATGCGCCACAAAAATCATTCTATTTGTGTGAGGTCTGAAATATTGCCTGGATGCTCAAGCAGAAGCAGGGTGGTTTTCTTAGGATGCCACATCCCGAGCATTTGACCTAATGGTCTAATCCACAAGACGGTTGATAAACGTTAAGAGGTGAAGTCTCATGGTAGTTGGTGACCAACAATAGGTTCATACACCATTTGTTGCCTCAGGATCCTGGAGCCTATGTGTACCATTGGTTTGGAATCAGGATTTTCTTACTCCCCTTGGTGAGTCCTTTATATCTACTAACCCGGTTAAAGCACCAGAAATTCGCTTTTCGTCCATTCAATTTCGTAAATAACACCCCCGCCGCAAGAAGGCAGTGAAAGGGACTTCCCTGACAGTGGCTGCGTACGTGCGGTCATGTGAGAGCGATTCAAGGAGAGTAAACTGTCTTCACCATCGGTCGTACCAGGACATTTGAAGGAGAGAAATTGCTGAGCCCGACGTGATTTGAACACGCAACCCTCTGTTCTGGAGTCAGAAACGCTACAGTTGCATTGGCCAAGTCTAGGATCATTTCCTTGAAACTTGTTATGACACCTAGAATGGAGCTAACGGTCTTCGTGCTGTGTTAAGATTAGGAAGCATGTAGAAGGACAGCTAAATACCCCCATTTTCTTGATCACTTATTGGACATGTTCACTGATCGTGCTTCATTATATAAAAAGTACGACTAAAAGGTTTGAAAGGTTTGTGAGTCATAGGTTAGCAACTATATGTGAGTTATCCACACCAAACGAATGGAGATACATCAAGGTCACATATAACTCTGGCACCCTGGAGACGCTTAGTCCGAATAAGTCGCTGTTGATTTATAAAATATTATCATTTGAACCAGGATTCACCGACAAAACTTTATTATATAATAGATCTGAGGAAGCACAGAGGGTAACTACCGTGTTTTGGAATAAACGAATTCGAGAATATCTACCTACCATTCAAGTGAGGGATAAATGGTTGAACATATGAAAACAATTACAACCAAGAAATTTATTACTCGTTAGCAAAATTGAAGCAAGTAGGAGTTTATGACCTAAAGCCATTGTCGATCGAGGAAGCTATGGTCCTGACGGATGGGTCCGCACGGCGAAGTTGAGGATGACAATTAAAGAAATAGTTCGAGATGTATGAGATCTACGCATACTTGGAGAAGCCATTTTTTAACTGATAATCCAGGATGATCGAGGTGATTGGCTTTTCGGGAGGAGTGTAAGTTGTGATCGATAAACGAGTTCACCAATGGTAGCATTAAGCGCTCCACCACGACTTTCTCTGGCTTTATGTGGATAGACCATGTTTATTCACTAATTAAAGTCTTTCATGTTTGTCATAAACGGTTTTAAGTTTTGTTGACTCATTTTTCCTGTCGTCCAGTTTCTGTTCGGTATGTTATTTATATTTATATTTCCCCTGTTTAATAGACTGTGTTAATTTACGTTTTAGAAACAGATAAGGTCTATCAAGTCAGCTAGTTTACTTGTTCTGACCTTGGTCAAGCTTAAACTGTGCCGGGAGCCTCGAGATTGTTTTCGAATTGCGTATATTAGCAATCACTTTCTACACGACTCGAATGGTAAATATTTAGTCTATACATTCACATAGTTCTTAAATGTCTCTGGTTTCTTCGCGTTTATTGTTCTTAGACCATAGTAAAACACTTCATTATTATGTAAGCTGATATTTTAAAAGCCATACCAGCCAAACTAATCTCTCTTTGGTCATCCGAAGAAAATCCTTATCTTTTCTCACATACTAGCTCGGTTACTAACTCCTAACGACTACATGGAACTACTTTTAACTTTCATGACTCCGAGAATCAACCAATCACTATCTGCTGCTTTCCCTCTCTTGTTAAGTTTGAGCTTCGTAACCTAAGGTCTGAAGAGTTAATATCAAAGTAATTTTTTCTGGAAATTCATTTATTTTGATTTCATGTGAAAGTATTTGCTTTGTAAATAGTCTAAGCTGCTTTATTTTTGTCTCTGAGTTGGTGTTTTCTCTATTTATTGATACAATGTGCTTGCTGATTTTAGGAACTACTTCTAATCCAAATCAGTTCACAGGCGGTGTTGTACTTACACCTGAGCAAGCTGAACAGATACGTTATCAAAAGGAAGTACGTTGTCACTTACAGCATGTTTATATCAGTTCTCTAAGATATGTATTATTTTTAACGGTCAAAGCTTTTTTTTAGCGACGTTTATGGTTTGGGTAAGCCCGCAACTTGATTTGTCCTTAAATAATATAACTTAGTGATATTCCTTTTACTGAGTGACTACATTTTAAACGGTATAGTATTCTGCACCAGTGTTTTCAAATTTCATGTTCCTTAATTTCACGAAATCCTGTGATATTAATAACAAACCCCACTATCGCCGATGGAGATCGTCTAATTTCAACTCGCTTTGAAGACTGTTCAGCAATGGTCACCAAAAATTGTCCTACTTTCATTTCTGATTGTTCAATTTTCTACACTTGTCCAACTGATCTTACCTAGACTCTCTATCCCTCATGGGCCTTAGGCCATCGATAAGGGGTCTCGAATCGTTTCTATCCTCAGCTCTCCTTCTTAGTATTTGGCAAGTTCTGTTCATCGTTCTGATGTCTATTTCTGATTCTTAGCACCACGTATGTTTTGGTATGACTTTTCTTCACGCCTTGAAGATTACAAGTTAGAGCTTGCATTGTGGCGTAGTTCAACGGTTTTCATATGTTGTCCTGTCCAGTCCTATCGTCTTCTGGTTTTCTCTTTAACTGGTAGCTGATCTGTCCTCTGACACAGTAAGTTACTGTCGATAGTCGCTAGCCAACAGATTTGGAATATTTTGGGTAATTAACTTTACAAATATTTGTACTTTCTGGATGATAGTCGTATCAGTTCTCTAATTTTCAGCTTTGTACAATAGAACGTTCTTAATGCTTGTGTTAAAAATTCTGACTTTTGTTGAGTGTGACGGTTGTTTAGAGTTCCAGATATTCTTCAATTATAGTAATGCTACCCTCGCTTTTTCAATTCGTGCCGTCACAACGGAGCCAGATCCTCCTTGTTTATCAATTATGCTACCCAGATATATTCTATTTTATTGTTGGTGGAGCACCGTATACATGGAGGTCTGTTTATTCTCTGGTGCTTTTGGGGGTTCGGTATACCTGATCTATTCAAGTGCTTTACGGAAGTACTCTATCTACCTGTTTGATTGCTCTTGAACCTCAGTTATTGATTTCCCTTTCTTGTTATTGACTGGTCGCTCTTGTTTACTGTATTTCCCCTCTTGCTTCCTGGTCGTATCGTATGGTTTACAAATTTATTTATGTTGCAACCTCTTCTGTCATTGCTAGGTCTTATACATATTTCCTCTTCCTAACTCTAATGCTTTCCAATCGTCTTTTATTTACTTTCGTATTTTCAACTTGTGCCTTGACTTGCTCTGATTCTGTTTAGCTGTTATTGACTGTTTTCTTGTCTTGCCGTTCTGGAACGTCGTCCGGGCTGTCAACGGAGACCTTTTCGGTGTTCTGGTGCTTTTTGGATGCCACCATATCCAGATATATTAAAGTCATCCTTCCTTTAATCTTTTTCCATTTTTCCATAGTGGTTTCCTCTTGTTGGGATATTCAGAAAAACATCCCAAAGATTATTCTGTTAAGTCTAATGTTATCCTTGGACTTGAGTTGGTATTATTTTCTTATTGGTCAGTATTTATTTCACGTGTCGTTTTCCTACTGGTCAATATTGTAGTGTTATTTTCTATTTTATGGTACGATGTGGTCTTCTTGATTGGTATATAAACAGAGTATGTTTGAAATATAATGATTCATATCTCAGAGGCTGAGACTTGCATTCTGGACTCAACTGACTGGGGTAGGCAGGGAAGCGGGACCAATCAGAACTCTAGGTCGTTCTTACTTGTTTATGCGTCTTTGGTCCGATCGATAATACGCTGCGCTCTAGTTCTGCAGTCCACAGTCACAACACCTCTTCTGTGAGTGAGTCTTGTAAGGCTTGGAACTTGTTGCTGAGACCTATCTTAAGTTCGCCGAGCTTGTGAGCATGTGGAAGGAAATTTGTACTAAATTTTTTAGTACTGCTTGTCCAATAGTTCAATGCTTTCCCAACTTGTCCGCCACCAAATGATGATCTGAAGCCAAATCAGTTTATTTGTTCTTACGTCTTTCTTGAAACCTCCAAATTTGTTATTGATACGGATATCGATTAGGTTTCTGTGGTGTGGTCCGATGAAACCAATGTAGCTTTGTTTGCGTTTGTGGGAAAAACAGTGCTGCATACATCCATGTTAAGAAAGGATCCACCAGTCTCTAGTCTATATATGACATCAGTAGCGCTCATCTTGAGATTCTGCCATGCAAAAACGGTGCTTTAAAAACACCAATGATAAAGTACTTACGATTCACTTTCGTCTTTTTCGAAAGCCATACTTCACAGCTGGGAAGTAACACAAGTTAGAATGTTGTGTACCCACTGTTCGATAAATATATAGACAGACATTATTTGCACAAAAGATAGCATTAGTTAGCAAGAGAAGTAAAACTACGGGGTTCATCAAACTTTACAACTTTTTATGCTAGTAATAACAGTTAGAAGTCGGAAAATATAGTGTACCAAGTTCTGGTCAATAAATATAGATAAATACTTATCAATATTGGTGAAATGACGATCACATGCATTGCAGTCGTCGGTCTTTTGTATTAACGCTTCATAGTGCTCAGATCACATGCCTGTTTTAGTGAAAATGCTTGCAAGATGGAGAGCCTTTTGAGCGTCTTAAATTAGAGCCTTGGTTGAGTCTCTTGCACCTTAAATGTGAAATACTCTTTTGCTGGTTCTTAGTGAAGCTTTGGAGTACATTGCTATTATCGTCTGCTCTAGATCATAGTTTAACCATATCCTTTCACAATTAACACCAGTAGTCCCTTATTGATTTTTTGAACGGTGATTAATAATTATCTCTCCCATCTGTATCCAATTTTGACTCAAGATTAATAATGTCTTCTCCTTCGTCCTAAAATTGATACTCCGTAAAACTTGACGTTTATGTGGTCATAGTTGAAGAAAAAGGTTACCGTTACTTGTTCACCCGGGGGGAGATTATTGAAATTTCCCTTGAAATGCTCTCTTACTTGACTTATTTCAAACTACTGATACCAAAATATCAGACTTCTATTTAGGTATTATGAATGGAACCATATTTCTATTCCTACAAATCAAATAATTTTTTTCACAGCAATATATATTCTAAACAATCAAATATGAAGTACCAACTAAACTTAACATGACTTATCTTGTAGCTTTCAAAACTATCGTTTGTTGAAATAATATTGATTTCGCTTACTAGCCTTGGTTCTACATTGCGTGTAGTTGACTAACTTACTAGTGCGGTTGACTGACAATATAATCATTTATAGTCCTCTAGTGCCTATTCGTTTTCGTGCCATCTTACATTTGATCGTCAGTAAGTTGGAAGATATCTCGATTAGATATATCATCTATTATAATCTAACTCAATTATTCATCGCTCACCATCTTAACGGTGTAACCACGTGATTAAATATGATATGGTGAGATTATGAGTGTAATGCTAAAAAGTCACATAACTAGGTGAATTAACTATTTAGTTCTGTCTTTGATGATTTTTCAAAAATTTACCAAAAGATCTCATCTGTTGCCAAATACTTTATTCCAATAATTCTTTTTGATTCGATTAGTAATTTGCAATCAAATTAACATTAAATCTTTATACATTGTCATTTCCTCAGCTTCAAGCTATGCAAGAGTTTATTTTAGCACAAAAACGATCAAAGTCTAAAGAGGAAGAACTTATGAATCGAATTGAGGGTGTAAATTATGGAAATAAAACAAGAATTACGAAGGATGGTTTAGTTATCAAATATGAGTATGATTCCGACGAGGACTGTGAAAATGGAACATGGGAGCACAAATTAAGACAAGCGGAAATGGAGGCAACTCGAGGTAATTTTTTTCTGTACTCCCAGTGGATGTCCAGTTTCCTGTAGTTGAGGTTTGTGGTTTAGATATATTTTGTAAACCTTAGAATGGTAGGTACTTAGTGTACAAATAGTAACCTAGAATAAGTGGATTTCTGTTACAAAATATAGTACAACTACGGATCTGGTTAGTGAAACAATGGGATTATGAATATACATAAAGGTCGTGGATAATAAGGATTATAGGAAAAAGAGTGAAGACCAACCTCGCATAGTTTATCTCAAGAATTTACTAAACTTTGTGCTCATTATCAGGTAACAATTGAATCAACAAACTTTTAAGAAAACGTATTAGAGAGGAGTAGATCGCGAAGTGAGATAAGTAATGAGTAAAGTCCTCTTAACCTGTTCATCTTTCATTTTATGATAAGGCAACAATGCACATACTGTATATCTTTTTGCAAATATTCGTGTTGCTCCCATAGACTTCGAAATATGATTAATCTAATATGTATTTTATTTCGATCAGTTTCTGTTTTAAATTGTAAAGTTTCTTTCATAGAATATTTTCAACCTTTTATTCACATAACATTTTCGTGACATTTTGTGTGGATTTTTGTAATTTATTTATCCACACTACTTGTTTCTTACATCTTTATTTAATTCATAGAATGGGCTCAGAAATTAACTGAAATGGGTCATGGAAAACATCATATTGGGGACTTTCTACCACCGGACGAATTAGAGCGTTTCATGGAAACTTTCCGTGTAAGTTGCATAATTATTATTCTCATATGTATTAAAATATGCTTCAGTTATTGCACATGTCACCACGGGGAATCAACCGTCATAAAGGCATGAACAGCTCGACTGTTGATGACGTATTTGTAAAACAGGAGAAATTCAACAATCATTGGAACCGTTTCTCTTTTGATAAAATCGAATACTTTGGATGTTTACCTTCATGGCCATCGGAACAGCTGTTGAAGAATCCTATTTTTCTTTTCTGTTTTTACACATTCTGCATATATCGATACCTAATAGACTGTTTAATAGTTAATATAACGGCAGAATACGAATATTTTCTTTTTATCATGCTATAATAATGGTATAAAACTGGTGACCCAGATTGTACCACGACTAAACCTCGATACTCGATCGATGCGCTATGTACAAATGGGATCATGATCGGGCATACACTTAACGACACCATTGTACAGGCTAGACAACTCTTTATTCAACACAATTACAAGCAGTTTATGATCCAGAGTAGAAATCATTAATAGGAAGAAAAGCAGGGAAATAACAGTAGCTTCTTTCAATGAATTTACATAAGACGCAAATCTTGAATCGTCACCTTCAGTTTTAAGGGCCGGTAAATTCGGTGACTTTTTTGATAGGTTTGACTAAAAAAAATCTACCTCATATTGCAAAAATTCCTGTGGGTTCATTCGCTTTTCAAAATTGTGAAAAGCTAAGTCAACAACACTCAATGCTAATATTCCTGGGACGAAACGTGATCTAGGTTAGTCCAATTCTGTTTCAATTACTCTTCAAATCTATGAATTATTATTGTACACAACAGAGTTCGATTCACGAATATGTTTCTGTCATACTCTGTAGTTGTATGAGTTTGTTAGTGATGCATGCGCATCCTACATCCGAGTGAGAAAAACAAAGGTAAATCGAGAAAGTTTATTGGCTAACCGAAATCAAAACATATGCGAAACCCATTGATAAATATATATCTATCTCCCTCGGGAAATAAAAGCAGATTTTCAGTCAACAACTTATGTCTGTTTCCTCCGAAAGTTAAGAGTGTGCTCGTTCACATCTCTCACAGCTTGTTCTGTCTACAGGACAAGCTGTGAGCCATATGTGGAGAAATTCGAACACTTCACTTCTACCTGAAGTTCGTACAGATGATGTCGTTCAGGTTAACGATGAAAACTCCACGACCAAACCATCCAGTTCAGAGAACAAAACCTCATCAGAATCATCCACTTGAGCTACAAATCTCTCCACCATCTCTCACTTATGTTTGATTGGCTCAGCATATCATTCTCCAGCATGAAAACCATGTATGAAATCCTGTTACGATCCAAGCACGAGTCTCTCACTTCAAGGCGAGAGAATGTTGCTCTCTCAGACTGCTTGACCGCTAACATTAACACATTCAATATTGATAAGCTTCAAAACTAAAAATCTCTAGGGATAAGTATGTCTTTGAATCCGCACTGACAGTGTTTAATGAATTTCGAGTGTCGTATTGAATAAATAAATGATGACTGGATAGTTCTCAATGCACTATGTTCCTGTTAGTTTTCTTTCCAGTTTTTTTCGCTTGCCGTAGACATTGCTTATTTTTGCGTTGAATATGAGGTAGTTTCTAGAATTTATTTAATTCGCAATCAGGCATTGAAAGAAGGTCGGGAACCGGATTTTTCTGAATACAAACAGTTCAAGTTAACTTGTGAAAATGTCGGTTTTCAAATGTTAGAAAAAATGGGTTGGAAAGAAGGTGAAGGACTTGGCATTGATGGTCAAGGTATTGTTAATCCAGTCAATAAGTGAGTCCAGAATTTTACCGCTCACCATGATCTGTTCTTTTTAATATCTTTTTCTGAGAATGGATGGGGATGAATATTTGTGTTTAAATACTTAATTACTTGTTCAGTTTTCCGAAATTTTATTCAAAGGGGGAATGTCCACGTTGATGGTGTAGGACTAGGAATTGATCGTCCTTCCAAATTAATCAAAGAAGATGATGAGTACGATGCATACAGGAAACGTATGATGTTAGCTTATCGGTTTCGACCAAATCCTTTGGTAAGTGTAGTATAGTAAGCGACGATTTTTTTTTAATTTCCAGCTTGCAATCTACGTTGTGTAAAGTGATCCGATGTCTAACAATTAATGTTTTCTTATTGAACTGAGATGTAGCTTTTTTTCTCGAAATCTGATGCAACAGACAGATGTGTAGACTCAATGTTTCTCATTTTCACCCTTGACTAGTTATATAAGATCTGATACATAACATTTGACATTTTCTTGGTTAAATGTCAAAAAAATCAATACTTAATATGTTTCCAGTCAGTTGGTTGATGTTTCTATTGTTTAGTTTTTTTATTCGAGTTTCGGCTTCTGAACTGTTCAACGGCTATTCATTCGAGTTTTTATTGAGTCTATTGTTCTATCATCTGATTGGCTAGGGCCCTTCGGCTCCTTTTTGGGCCTCTGGAGGCTCCGTTGAAGTACTCCGGAAGCCGACCCAACACTATAGTTGCTGAAACACTTGTTCCTTTAGGTTTTATCGTACTAAGCAGGTTGGTTCTTATTATCACTAATGCTGTTACTACTTGTGCTAGTCTAGAATTCTGGGCTGATAATTTTACCTCTCCTTACTTATGAGGTGTGAGAACGTGAACCGATATAGATACGTAAAAGGCTTTTGTTGTGACTGACTGACCTGGAGAGTGGTAAGACTAATAGCAGCGATGGCGAATTCGAACTACTAACTGTACTGGGATGTAATGGCAGCAAAGTGTTTTCGGACAAATAGCCCCTGTAGCGATGCTACCTTAACACAACGAAAGAGAGCTTAGAAAAGGTCGACCCAAAAATGTCACATCTCACAGATTTCTGTAATATGCGGCAAGGCTTTTTAAAGTACGGAGCTAACAATACAAATCCCTCAGAAAGGTCGTATATGACCAGCCTCAAGAAGTTGTCTCATGGACTCTCTACAGACATATTCTCGGGTCGTTAAAACCACCATAATTCCAGTTTTTTTCAAGTCTCAAGAGGAAATATCATTCCATGGTATGGGCAACCGGGAAGTGACAAATGCCTTTACGTCCCTAGCAGCACTCGGTGTCATATTGTTCATCATCAAATCCCTTCATCTCTTAACGTCTCCCAATGACTAACCCTTATAGTATATCTTTATCACCACGTGTCACCAATACTAATGATTTGAGTTGACAACGTGTTATTCCTGGTCTCCTGAATCCACTATCTAAACTACATGTTGAAGCTTTCAATGTTCGAACCTTGTGTCAGATAGGACAACCGGCTTATTTGGCTAGGACTCTAGAATCTCGAGCCATTGATGTGTGGTGTCTCTGAAGCGCGCATGCAGGATCCGAGTATGGTCATTCATTTGGCTTCACCTTGAGTGTCTGGAGACCGCACTGCTATTCCTCTTAGCCTTGCTGGTTTAGGTACATCATTAAGTTCTAAAGTATAACAGGCTCTGTTAGACTGGGTTCCAATAGACAGTCACTTGTGCGCTGTTCGACTTAACGGGGCAGTAAGTAATCTAAAAGATAGAGACATGTGCCATTGTCTTTTCGTTGACTTTGTTTATACTCTCACTGATCGCAGCTCGGACGAAGTTAAAAATGAAATGTATAAGAAGCTATCAAACCCCCATCAAAAGCCAAATGCTCTGATGTAGAGTAACAGCGCCAGGTGATTTTAATTCTCAAGAAGATAGACTAAATCAAACCGAAAGGCACTGAGGCGGATTTTGAGGTATTGCGGCTCAGAGAACAGATAATGTTGATCGTCTGTTGCAACTATGCTCAGATGACTGTCTATTTCTAGCAAACACAAACTGTAAACATGAGAAGAGACATCGTCTGACGTGATGACCCCTACAATCGATTCAGCGATAAACTCAAATAAACCTCATTTCCATCAGTCATCGTTGGAGGGGCTAGACAGAGGACTGCTGCTCATTCTGGAGCTTATGTTTAGATTCAGATCACGCTGCAGTGTGAGGACGTATTTATCTGTGTCTTACAGGAAACAGAAAATACACATTAGGAATACTCGTCACAATTCAACTTAATGATAAAAAAGAATTGAAAAAGTATTTCAGAATCGACCAGAAATGTAGTTAGTCAACCATGAAGGTGATATCCATACCTGGTCAGTTTGACATGCTATCCGAACAGTCGTGAAAATAGCAGTGATAGCAGCCAGCAAATTAAATCAAAAGGCGAAGAGATATCAGTGGCGTCTATAAAGCTGATAGATGCTCGGAATTTCATCCCGTATGGTTCAGAACATGGTAAGGAGCGGAAGTATCTTAAATGTAGGTTGATAAAAAGCCTACGTAATGATCGTGAGCAGTATTTATTTATTTGAAGATATAAATATTGGTACAAGAGGGTACCAAATATATATGCGCAACACAAAACAATGAGAATAGGAAGAGAAACAAAAGAAGGTAAGGAGCTTAACAGAAAAAAAGGAGAACAATAACCACCAGATTAGTGTAAGGTAGTGTAATAATAATAATAATAATAATAATAATAATAATAATAATAATAATAGTAATAATAGAAGTACTTTGCACTTCGAAGGTGCAAAGCACATACCCTACCTACGGACATTGATTACCAACTGATTAAGTACGGATTGCATGGCTTGGGCATTATCGCACAGTAAAACAATATCATCCGCATACTCAAGGTCGAGAAGTCTTTCTCCAGAGAACAGTCCTATCCAACGAATCGAAGGCAGCTCTGGTGTCAAGAAACACTACGATTGTTGGCCTTTGATAAGTATGACGATGTTCTAACATTTAGCGGAGGGTGAAGATATGATCAATACATCCTCGACCAGAACGAAACCCAGCCTGCTCCTCGCGAATCAACCTTTCTCGGAGTTTGAACAACCTTCAAATTTTGACAGAAGTCAATAGTTTGGACGAAATTGGAAGTTGACTTATCCCCCGATAATTGTTACATCAACGACGTAAAGAGTTTTTAAAAATAGAGACAACTATCGACTCATTCTATGACGTTTGTACACTCTCTAGCTCCCATACCTTTGTAAACAACGTCGTCAGTTCCTTAGTCAAAAAGTCACCACCATTTTTAAAAAGAGCAGGAGGTAGGTCATCTGGGCCTGGTGATTTGTAGCGCTTGGAGTTGGAGTTCCTTGCGGATTTCCGCCTGATTTGGTGAATCATTCGTCATCGGTCTTGAAGGACAGGATAGTCTGACCGATGTTGCTGGAGCAGCATGCCAGTTGAACTGCCGTCGAGAGACTCTGACCATCATCCAACACACCGATGGATGTTAGTGATTAACATCCCGTCATCCTCACAGATTGTTTCGCTCACAGGTCAGTGGAGCATCGTAAGGAGATGCAGTCCCATGGTAGCTGGTGATCAACGATTGGTTTATACACCATTTGTTCCCGCAGGATACTGGAGCCCATCTGCACCATTTGTTTGGGATCCGGTTAGAGCGCCGGACATTCGCTTTTCGTCCTCTCAATTTCGTAAACAACACATCCGCTACGAGAAGGCAGTGAGTAGGACTTCTCTGGCAGAGGCTGTATATGCATGGCCGTGTGAGAGTATTTCGAGAGGGAGGGCGGTCTCACCCCACTCTCGGCCATATCAGGGCATTTGAGGGCTCGTGAGAAGTTGTGGGTAACGAAAGCAGAAGAGATGAAAAGGCATCAGCGATAGGTAACAGTAGGCATCTGTTCAGTCTTATCAAGGAAACGGGTGTTGAAAGTCCGTTTGTTAATGAAAATATCTCGGAAAACGACGGAACTACTATTCACTCTCAATTCAAGAAACTGAACCGATGGGTCGAACACTTTAGGGAACAGTTCAGTTAACCTTCAGCCGCACCTCGGTTAACCACTATCTTCGAATAAATTGAATGACAAACTGATGTGAGTTCTCCAACTCTTAATGAGGTTGAAGAGGCTATAAGTAATCTAAAACGATGGATAGCTGCAGGGACTGATGGACTAACTACTGAGATTTTTAAGGATGATGGTTCCGTTTTTTGCGGTTAGATTAGCTGAGATCTTATATAGAATTTGAAGACTGGATGTAATGCCATCTGATTGGTCTTGATCCCTGACCATACCAATCCATAAAAAACGGCTGAAATCTCTTTGTGACATCCTTATGAAGACAACGCTCTCATCGTCTGACTTTTAAGGGTTTGATCTCCTACTTGGAGATTAACTAGCTGACTTGAAAAATGCAGTCCTGTTAGGTGAAGTTGCTGACAAAATGCAGTTTTTTGTTCACCTTTACCAATAATGCAAGCATATGTTTCGGTTAAATCTGTTTTAATGATACCTGCAATGGGATATTATCATTAGCTCTTTGGTTTGTATCGAATTTGAGGACGTTGTAACTCAACTTACGCAAGGTGGAACAACCTAATGTTCTACTTTTTGAATTCCGACTATTTTGTCCAAGGCTTGTTAGTTAAACTTAGTAAGGTTTTTGCTTGTTATTGTATTTCTTTTTTTTAGTATGTGTAAATCATTATTTTCTTCAGTTAATCAATATTATTATTGTTATTTATTTTAGAACAATCCTCGACGAGACTACTATTAATAGTGGTAAAGCAATGTTAATCATATTTGTTTCATAACAAAATAGTGGAGAGAAAACTTGATCAGTCTGTGATTTGGAACCATTTCTTATATTATAATTATGGTTATTATCATCATATACATAAAGGTTTCTAATCATTATCTGTCAGTATGCAGATTTGTATAATTTTATGGAACCGTGTATTTAAACCGTTGATTTTCTTTTACATGTGTATATGTAATGTCAACTGCCATATAAAATATATAAATACTTTTTTGTGTACAATAACTAGTTTTGCTTGTCTCTTACCAATCATTTCTGCTTGGGCTTGTTCTTGTAAAGATGATTTGATTTCATAATTGCTGCAATTAATGATACCGACCGTGAACGGAGTTGTTGACTGTAATTAGAAAACAAAACCCAGTGTATGTATAATCTGCCTTCGTTTTAATAGCTCGCGAGTTGCACTTTACTAAGTGCCCCAGGTGGACAACTTCAGGAATAGCCTGTCAACTTGTGCTTACTTAACTTTTTGATGGATTTCTGTAGGGTGTCAGAGCATTTATTTAATACTAGTTTACGACTTTGTAAACTAAGGTTATTAGCGTCTGTTGTTTCAAGTGTATGTACTTTTACACAATTTTTATAACTGTGCTTCAGTTGTCTTTATGCAGTTGTATCATTGTTCTAAATTGTTGCGTATACCAAACAAGCGACCTGTAAAGTGACCAGTAATGACTCCGTAGGTAATGCACACTACACAGGCAATTATCAGTTAAAACCTACTTAACCAATACTTGATTTCCATGGTGGTCTAGCTTCCATCGACTCATGATCTCAACAATATAAATTACTAAGATCTCCACAAAACCCCCTTATGATATTAATCAACATATGCGCACTAGTGACTGGCTTCAAGATGTATATCCTGGAGTTCTAGTGAGAAGCAGTGACCAGTGGAGTGCAACCAGGTCTGTTGTGAGATAGTAACTCACTGATGACAATGTTGGATGTGCTGCTCAATTTCGTGGATTAGTTGAAGTTATACATTAACACCGTTGGATGCTGGCTCAGTGGTCTAGTAGTTAAGTGCTCGCGCGCGAAACCAGTAAGTCCTGGGTTCGAATCCCGCGAGGCTGGATCGTGGATGCGCGCGGCTGATGAGTCCTATAATAGGACGAGAATGGCCGTCCAGTGCTTCCAGGTTTTCCATGGTAGTCTAGCTTCAATTGACTCATGATCTCAACAATATAAATTACTAAAATCTCCACAAAACCCCCTTCTGAAAATGAAATCAGTTAGGGGAAGTCTTGTAACGCATAAAAGCCAAAACGTGACGGGCAAAATGCTGTGCTTATACTTGTAGTTTTTATTGTTGATGATATGCTATGTTTATAAAAATATCCTAATAACTTTGTTTTCTATTGTGATTGACCGTTTTTATATAAAGTCAGTTCAACGATTCGCATAAACCTAAAAATCACAGCCGAACAACCTAGGACACAGAATAAATGATAATCACATTTTCTGTTTTTATACAAATAGGTAGTTTTCTGTTAACAGACTTTATGAACTTATTGGCTAACTAATAGGCTAAACTAATAGGATATTGGACTTTTATTATGTCTAGTGTTAATATTCAATACAAAGCGATCTTGGTTAAATAGAAGGAGGATTTTCCTGGATAGCTAATTTTTCATGTTTAAAAGTTACCGATTCTGTAATCGGGAACTTGGTTTTGTCGTGCTTGTTAAAGATAACTTTATTCATAATATTGATATGAAACAGACTCACTAGATTTTATATTACACTGTAAATCTTCCTAATTCAATTAGTCTTATAGATATCATTTGTTTATCGAAATCATCATATGAAATTTCAATCCAAACTAATGAACATTTAAGCACGAAACCTGAATATATTTTGTTTTTGTGCTAGTAGTAAAGCAAAATGAAACAAAATATCGATTTTACATTCGCCAAAATTTGGCTGGCAGTTGTATATTTCATGCTTCGTTCATGTACAGTGTAATAAACTCTAGGTGATAATAAAAATATAATTGTTTTGATTGTAATTAGATCAGTGGGATTATGAACTTGAAAAGTATGGGCGAGATAACAATTACACAGAATGTATCCACTATTTTGTAGTGAGTCAGAAAAATTTCTTTGATTCTTCTTTCGTTTTATTAAAACCACTTTTTAATATTTACATTTATAAGGAAATAAGACAATAGCAGGATTGTAATGGTGTGTAATGTCACAAAAAACATCCACTTTTACAACTGGACAATTTGTTGGTGCTAGTAGTAGTAATGATAGTTTACTTGGTTCACGTATACCATATCAACCAGTTTGTCAGAGATGCTTTAATCCACTACAATTGGATCAAGATTTTGAACACTTACAGAAAACAGAATTATTGACCTTAATTGGTAAGATATTCTATTTCTTTATGTAATGTACATTGTATGTTTTGTTTGCTCTCAATAATAAAGTTTATTTATCAAATTGTTATCACTTTTCACAGTCAATAGATTAATGAATCAGATGGTTTATTAGTAAAAATTAAATAAAGTGACAATAAGCCAAGTGAAATTATTAACCTTTAAATAGTGAGTACATTAGATTGATTTTATGTCAGATTTTATGATTCTAATTATTCTATTGATTGCATCGCGTTTTCTAATAACTATTTATTTCTTTATGTTTTGTGACATGGAAAATCCTCACAGTTGTTTCACGTTAAGAATGCAAACAAATATAATTAGTAAACACTACTCAAGTAAGAAGGCAAACAGAATAGCATTTTTCCTTATTGAACGATCTATATCTTCATTCTGCCAACACAAGATACCCTTTCTCGACTGATACATAATCTTATGCACTGTTAATTATCCGTCTTATGTGGGTTTACAAACTATATTATTTGTTTCCATTTTCAAAAGTGTTTGTACTCAAGTGTATAAACGGTTAATACCTGACTGACCACACCGTGGGGAACGAAGTGGGACCAATGGGTTCAACCTCCCGAGGACAACTCGCTGAGTTCGGTCAAAGATAACCATTCCTTAGTACTTTTTTGATCTAGCTTTTTAGAGATATACATAAAAAGATAAGATCGGTTGATTTGCTTAATACCCTTTGGAAACATCTTACTGAGCCCATACCCTATCACAGTCAGCAGTGAAACTGAGTTCAGGGCCCTAAGATGTGTTTTTATTTGTTTCCTCTTTCTTAAATCCACCCGACTGGTGGGTGTTCCAGCCATCATAAGTCAGACATATCGTTATGATTGGGAAACCTGATCGCTATATCAAAGTAATAACTGTGGTCGAGACTTTAATGTAAATAAATGGAATCAATCTTCACACTATTTCTTCTGGCCCCCAAATGCCCTGGTACAGCCAAGAGTGGGGAGAGTGCGCTCTCCCTCTCGAAATGCTTTCACATGGCCACGCGTATATAGCCTCTGCCAGGGAAGTCCTACTCACTGCCTTCTCGTGGCGGAGGTGTTGTTTACGAAAATGAGAGGACGAAAAGCGAATGTCCGGCGCTTTTACCGGATCTCAAACCAAATCAATGGTGCACATGGGCTCCAGTATACTGCGAGAACAAATGGCGTATGAACCAATCGTTGGTCACCGGCTTCCATGGGACTGCATCTCCTCACGATGCTCCACTGCCTTGTGGATCAGACCCTCAGGTCGAAGGCTCGGGGTATGGCCCCCTAAGAAAACCACCTGCATCGGTTTGGGCACCCGGGCAGTATCACAGCCCTCACACATATCGAATGAGATTTGTGTGGCGCATATGTATTTGGTGCCTCATTGTACCAATATCTATGTGTTGAAATAAATAAATAAAACTGTTTCTTCTGCCTCCCTGATAGGTTTTCTTTTTAATTAGTTTTGCGAATACATCTTTTTTCAATCTTAGATGCTACGACTGCTGACAGTGAAACATCTGATCCAATTAATTTAGTACCTGTTAAAAATTCGACCACTCCTCGACCAAGATTCATTGTCCCACCAAAGTAAGTTTTCTTTAGAAATAGGTACATCTGATGGTTCTCTAATAACTCAGTTTTGGACATAGTTTTGAATATTTATGTGAGTGTAAAAGTTGTCTGATTTTTTTCCTAAACCACTAGTCAGAATAGGTTTGCATTCTGCGTTGTGTAGAAACTCACCTAAACATAAAAATCAAAACCTTTGAATGAATCTGTTTGTACCCTTCCCAAATTTATTTATGTACAATCAAATTGTTCGTGTGATGATTTCTTTGCGGTTCAGTGATGAGACAACACACCAAGTACAAGTTCATATAATTGGCTTCGCACCATACGTTATATCTAAGGGCCAGGATACTACTGAACTGCCAGAACTGAAATAGGTTAAGTCTTAAACTTGCGGTTTAGTGACTAAACGTTAATCGCCGCACACATTAGGTAATAATAATAATTTATATTCCGAAAATAATAATTACGGAATTCACGCCAGTTTACAGGCGTGATCAATTTGATATAAATAGTAACATTAGACGTGCAGAACAAACATGTGATAGAAGAAAGTTTTAAGTATACGAGTTCAGTAATTGTTTACTTAGTACATGTATTACAGCGATCCAATGCATCAGCCGGGAGTTTTTAATATTTCTTAAATGGACAGCATGTCGATTTATGAACGGTGTAATTAAGGTCAATTCGTGTGCCAGATCGAATTAATGATAATTATCTGCAACTAGAGAAATTAAAACGAAAACAGAGAGCACGAAACAACAAAGTAGTAATTACCAAAATATGTCAATCAGGTCTACCAAAATGCGTGTTTCATGTGACAGAGTGATATATTGTTGATGTTATTCAAATTAGTTAAACTTGCTAGGGACGGTGTTAACATAAAGTGACAGCAAGTGGGTGGTTTTACTTAGGGAATGCACTAATAAAAATGGCTAAAAATTTAAAGATCCTATAATACTACTTGTGGAATAAGATACACTTACAGGTGCTAGACCATTCAATGCATTTTCAGAGGAGCAGTATGCATCGATGCAGCGAACAAATAATGGGAGTGATTTTATCGTGCGGATAGATTGTGGTGGGTTATTCCAGAGTCTAGAAAATTTACAGGTGAAGTAATTCATATAAAGAGATGATTTAGAATAAGTTTATTTCACTAGTGCCAAGGGATTACGGATGTCATAATGAGAAGTTTCTGCATATTGAATCGCGTGATTGGATGTAAACGATAGTTTATGAAGTAGTTTGAAGAAAAAGATAAGATTTAGTTTGAGTCTCCTCCTCCATAAAGGGTCTAGCCCAAGTTTATTACATCTAGAATTATAAGTTAAGGTACAATCAGCTCCGAGAATACGAAGTGTAAATCGTCTCTGTACTGATTCCAGCCTTAATTCATCATTTATGCGCGCACTGCTAAGAATAAACGTGCAATATTCTGGAAGAGGTTGAACACGAATTTTGTACATCAGAATACGTGACTCATTGTTGTAAAGGTTTCGAGTTATGTAACCTATTAGACGTTGAGTCTTAGAGGTCTGTTTCAATATCTGTTCTGTAAACGACAAGTCTTGGGAATATCTAAGTCCTAAGTCTACTACTGTATGTAACCTAGGTAACACTTCTCCATTTATGGTAGGGTCTAGGTTGAGTGATGTATCGCCGAAGCATATCCATCCACATTTAGCCGTATTAAGCTCCAGTTGCCATTTTAAGCACCACTATGTTACCTTGTTAAGCTCCATGCTGATGCGATTTTGCATATTTTTCAGCTCATGTGGAGAAAATGAATATACTACTTTAAGATCATCTGCATATAGAAGGGGCTTACCGACACAAAAACTTTCACAAATATCATTGATAAACACTAAAAAGAGCAAAGGACCTAAGACACTACCCTGTATTACACCACTTCTAACAGGGACAGCGTTAGACAATAAAGAGTTAATTTTAAATATTTGATGTCGATTGTTGAGAAAGAAATCAAATCAAGCAAGCAAAGGATTTTGAACCCCATAAAATGCGATCTTACCTATAAGAAGTTGGTGGCTAACCATGTCAAAGGCTTTAGAAATGTCCAGATAAAGCACTAAGACTAGATATCCTTGGCTACGTAGAGAATTGACTAAATTAAAGAAGTCAAAATGACATGCCATGCAAGGACGATTTTTAAGAAATCCATGTTGGGTATCATTGATAAATTTTCCAGCAAGTAAATAGTTTTAAAGTTCATCACTTATAATTTTTTCCATAATCCTAGAAATAATTGGAGTAATATTTATCGGCCGGTAATCGTTCATGTCAGTCTTATCTCCAGATTTGTAACGTGGTATGATGTACGCGGTTTTCCAACAGTAAGGGTAAGAACTGGTTTCTATAGAGAGAGTAAACAGCTTTAGAAGAAGAAGTGAAATATCTGAACCACCATATTTGTAGAGAAAGGATGAAATCCCGTCTACTCCATGACCTCTCGAAAGCTTAAGGGTAATTATAGCCTTATTAATTTTCATGCATGTGAAGGAGATAGATTTTATTGAGGTATATTTATATATAATCCTTATTTGCTTATTAAATTCATAACTTCTTCGTTGTGTTGGTTATTAAGTTCAGCACTATCCTTGTTAAATGATGAGGAAGATCCACTTGAAACTCTTCAGTCATATGCTGGACCTACTTCAAGTCTTGACCATCGTCTCAAGGTGAGTTTTAAAAGTGGTATTTCAATTTTTAATACTAAATTGTGAATTATGTCTACTTGAACATCAATGTACCTATACTGTTTCAGACGTTCAAATCAATCAACTCTCCAAATAAGTCTGTTACCTGTCAGTGAAGTGACATAACTGTCTCATTGTTTCGTTTTTTAACTGAAGTTGGAAATGTATACCATTGGACTGAGTTTTCTAAAATTAGCGAAATTGGGGCAATAATCGTTATTTTCGTGTTCAGTCTCTAGAAGGTTCATGAATATATGCTACTGAAGAATCACGTACCTATGTTAAGCGGTTGTTTACGGATCCCCTGTTTTCAGTGATTCTGTAACTAATATCAATCCGTAACGCAACCATCTTCAGATTGAAGGGATTTGGAATCTAATTTCGTATGACATTTGGTTCTAACTGAAACATCTTATAACTCATTAAGCGAAAACTAGTGTTCATGAACTTGAGAATATAATCGAAAGTGAAATGATACATTAGCATCAAACAGAATGACCTTATCAACTTAAAATAGTCGAGATTATTTATTGTTTCCCTTTACATTATGTTTCGATAAACATCAACTCAGTGAAAGAGACCTAGTATGTATGTACATCGGTTCAAATTGCTGTACCTCATTAGCACAGCGAGATGAGATTGTTAGGGCAGATTCTAGAGTTGAGGAATATTCATAATCGATAAATGCTGGAAACAACTGTTTAGGAAAAGTAAAACTTTGTATCAAACAATACCGGTATATTACTTTGAATGATCCAACAAATGTAGAAAATTTTTAGTGGGATTTTTCAAAAACCGTGATAGAATGTTTCCAGTGAAAAGCTACCGTAAGGATTAGGGTTTTCTTTTAACCTACCCTCTGTCAAGATGACAAAAATAATTAAGTAGTACTCGTATTAACTAACCATTGAGCGTGTAGGTATCATTATCAAGGTTTGACTTGATAATTTTAAATAAATTGAGCATTGGGTAGATTTTTATGAATAAGAATAATAAATTTTAATATTTGTTCTCTGATGAAGTCACGATACGTCAGAAGACTTAATTTATGTTCCCATTGGGAAATTACTCATATATAATTTTCATTAATAACAATTGAGTAGTAACTAGTGTCATATGTGTCTAGTTCTTATCGTTAAACGGTCAATTTTCAATTTAGACACTAGTGTAAATGACCAAACATCAGTTATGAACTTTAAAATAACAAGAAATTCAATATTGACAGCCTAATAAGATGCTCATATATATAATCTTGTGGTTTGTCTCTAACCTCAGATTTCTCTTATTTCTGGACGTCCTTCTAGTTCCCATAAATATCCATCAATTTCACAAATTAATTATATAACTAGATTGAATTTTCCTGCAGTTTCTACAGTAGCTCGCTTTGATTTTTCTTCTGGGCTAAAGATATTTCTTGAACATCTTTATCGCCATAAATTTGTAACTTCATTAATTGTCCTGCAATTTTCTTTTCTAAAGTTTGATTCCAACTCCCTCATCGTCTACTCTACGATTCCACTCTACATATTTCAAAAGCAAAACTAATTGAATACTTTCAGTTATCTACATCGTTTTACTTTTGAAAGTCATATCTTAAGATTGTATAACAAAACATAGTTTACGTTATATTCATTGTATCTGATTATTTTCATTGTACGTAACTAGTCTGTTCAGTTTTGTTAATTCGCTGGACATAAATATCGTCATCATTACTGTTGTTGTGATCTCTCGTCTTCGTAATTACAATTTAATTTACTACGTATTTAGGTGAATGCCTGTTTATTTGATGTATTAAGTGGTCGTACTGAAGTTGATCATCCTCTATGCCAAGAATGTGCCGATACTTTATTGTTAGCTAAACAACAATGTTTAGAATTTCAGGAAGAAGAAATGAAATGTTTGCAGTGAGTATATAATTTTGTATCGTTTTGTTTTTTCTCTCTGTTTATTATTCGAATCAACTTTCAGTTAATGTAACAAATATTCTTTTTTCATCTATGTATTCATTCAACTGACGGTTTAGTATAGAGGGTTGTAGGGATTGTTGAATTACATAGTTTTACTTCACACACTAGATTTGGTTAAACAACCACTGTCAGTCAGGGACTGCTAGACAGCAATTCCGTCCTAGTATGTTTATTCACAATCCAACAACTAATCGCTACTTTCACCACTCTATGTATGTCATTGGTTTGTTCAGTTGCACAACATTTTTTTCCTGTGATACGTCGTGTAAACGACAAAGTTAGTATTCTTAGTTTTACCTTGTGCGTTCTTTCCTATTATTCAATATAATCTTTTAAGTTACTCGTGGAAGACGAATCCGTATATACATGACATAATTAATATGAATTATCTATTAGTCTTACGCCACTTACATTATAATCCGTTGTTAACATATATATTGTACAAGACTTTTTGTTTGCGCACACACATTCCTTTATTGTTTATATTTACAGTAAATGTTCATTTTCACATTTCGTTTATTTAGTACAATATTCATATGTACGTTGTAGTTGTTACATTACCTGTAGAGAAATAATGTAGTTGGAAATATATTTGAAGTTGTAACTAACTAGATTTGTCATTTGACTCTTACTGAAACTGATGTGGTTTACATCTAAGCGATCCACTCTGGTATCACTGCCAAGGTTTTACTCTGGTATTAATGACAACCCTTACATAAAAAATTACATTTTATGTATTGAGTTAAATGGGTTTTTTAACAGCAAACTAGAATTTCATTGTGTATGCGTAGACAATATTTGTCGAATTTATTAGTTCTATATATTCTTTGTCCTTACTTTCCAGATTTTACTTATCGTACCTTGATTCGACTGCTGGGAAAATTGAAGCTAAATTAAAGTCTAAACAAGCGTTTAAATTGAAGTCAACCCAGAAAACGGAAAGTAAGAATCTTTCATGTGAAACAATCACTCAATCACATGATCAAGTCCCTGAAAATCATAGCACTATCACATCTAGTGAAAACAAAATTGTATTTGATAAAATCGTTGGCGATGACGATACTACTGTTCATGATGCAAACAACGAGTTGGCTAGCGATTCAACATTAATTGATTCTGTATTAAGTCTTACATTTGATGATAACAATGATAGTGATAATTATTTTTATGATGATGATGATGGGGGTGGTGGTAACGACGACGACGAAGAAGACAATAACAATATAGGTGATAGTAGTTATGCTGTGAAAATAGATAAAAATATTAAAAAATATACATCAAATCGTAAAAAATATGGTACAAATGTAAGTGAACTTGAACAAACATTAAATGCTTTACAATCCAATCTAAATGAATTAATAATTGAAAATGAAAAATTAGATAAACAAATAATTCAAGATACAGTTGAACTAGAAAAGCGTACGGAAGAATTAGATAGGTGGGTTTCCTTTGATCAATATTTTTGTACTGATATACCTGTTGGCATTGTATATTACATTCATTACTTGATAATGTAATCTCTTATCATTATTCAAATTGACACGGAATTCTTTCTCGCGGTAATTCACATCTATGGAGCTATCATTTTTGTTTAATGAACATTTTGATGCTACTATAATATTAATATAGGTGAAATGATTCCTACTGTGTGGATTGGTTTGTGATTGATGTATAAGGGAGCTAAATATCTATTAACTAAGATTTCTAGATATGTTATTTCTGATATAGTGAGTAATAAGTTAATCAATCGAAATGCAAATGACAGATGAAATTAATGTTTTCCAATTATGTGTGACATTTATTCATCACATTTGAAGAAGAATTATAGATCCTGAAATTATATAATATGGTAAATATGTATTTACATTGTAAGTTATTAAATTATTGTTGCTAAATACAACTTAGTTCATTTCATACAAATCTGACTGTTAATCTAATTTTCAATAAATCATACAAAAAATGGTGTATTCATAAATCATTTTTAAAAATTTCTTTTGGAAGTCAAATAAATTTTTATTACTAGTCTTTGGTTTTGCACTTGGCTCCTTAGCTCTTCTGTTCAAGTTGCCGTGTAGATTTAGTCTGAAATTAAAAGAAGTGACTAGGAAGTCAGATTGAGTGTTCGATTAGCAAGACATACCAGTTTTCAATTACGATAGCTTTTAAACACTTAAGTGTGAGTATTTTGAAACCTCTGGACAAGTTTACTAAACCTGCACGGTATACTTCTAACCTAAAGATGATACATTTGACGTGACTTTTCTCTTTGTATGTTTTAGAATACAAACTTTAGAAACAAAGAGTATTGAGAACCCGATCACATGTATATAGTAATAATTTATTGATAAACTACAAAACTGTGTTATCTTATTTTTGTTAGTATTTATTATTAGTTCTACTACAACTATTTCTTCTCTTGTGGTCCTCACTTGTTAACCTTCTGTCGTTATGGTCATGCGGTGTGACTAAGTTGGCCACTACACATTTGTACTAGGTCCTAAGTTGTTTATGCCTACTGACTGACAGAGCAGGACAATAATATGGGCGTGCCTAAAGCTCTTTTATTTCAAGTCTAATCGACGGGTAAATTTATTACCACTGTTGATGCATAATCATGACAGGATAAATTAATTTATGGAATTCTTCCTTCAGGAAATCTTATTTAACAAAAGGCAAAAATTTAAGGTGAAGACAATTTACGACTAATACATTCAACTTGGTCAAGTGAGTAGTATGAATAGACGCTAATTTTTCTGATACAGATCAAAGAAGAGTTTTATTCATGTAAAGTTTGTACAACATTTGTTTACTAACATGTATTTATGGGTATTCGTAACTGTACGTATGTGTATATGTATAGATATTCTCATCTCATCCATTAGAGCTACAACTCAATATAATGATCAAAAACTGGCCTTAATAGAAGCAGAAGAAGAAATGCAGTGCTTAGAATCTCGACTAAGCTATGCTCGAAATCATTTACATAGATTACAGCGTACAAATGTACTTAATATTGCTTTTCCTATATGGTACGATGGTCATATTGGTGTAATCAATGGACTACATCTTGGTCGTTTGCCCAATCGTCCTGTAAGTGTCTTGACAATCATTATTACTTAAATTATGTACACAGACCAAAATGATCATTAAATGTTTAATTGAAACTTTAATTTATCGAAAGCCTGTTTAATGTGATCAGGAAATTCAAATGCCCCGCCTAACGATTGATAATAAGTTTATGTTCCAATAAGTTCTTAAACAAATAAACAAAATATTCCTGTTACTTAATCAATATAGCTGATCTGTAACTAATGTCTTTTGGTAACACTTTGATAAATATTGATTCTTGTCCTCATGTAGTGAGAAGTATATTGAAAGTGTATCAAATATTCATTCCGCTGACGATAGACTTTTCTAGGCACAGACACGTTAATTTTATTGAGCTTCTGCAAATAATCGAATTCGTCGATAATCGTTAATATTATTAAAGACTAAAAAATTATAAATAAATGATTTCAATGTACTAATATATTGTAAGTCTGAGATCTTATTTTAGACGCAATAGTTTTTATATATAATCTGATTGTTAAGCTACAATAACTTCTCAAGCGGTTCGTTAAACGCGACCTGCTCAAACCTCTCAATACCATTAATTTGTTTCTTAGAAATAGAACAGTACAACTGTTGTGACTTTAAGTTAGGCTAGCTATCACGTAATTTATTCGCTACTCGAAACACCACTTATTCACTTTTGTACTGTACTAAAACAATGACGTTCGACCGGTCTGATCAGTCCAGTGTCCTCATTGGTTCTTTGCTCATCTACCCCGTACAGTTGGGTCCAGAACACCAGTGACAGCTTCCACTATGCGAATCATTTATTTCAGATATGCTTGGTTTATATACCAGCCAAACAGACCGCATCACACCATAAAATAGAAAGTAACATTTATACACAATAAAGCCAAAACGTGGCCATGAACGTGGGAGACAGTAATTAATAAACTGAGTATAATTTAAGAACGGCAAATCGAAAAATAATAAATACTAGGTCACAATGAAGCTTATAGTTGGAGGAATATAAATATACACAATCTAGTTACTGAACAGTTATACAATAGGAATATATATATATATATATATATATATATATATATATATATATATATATATATATATATATATATATATATACAAAGAGAGAGAAATACCGTGATAGTTATGGTTATTGCTTTTTGTTATATTTCAAAAGGTTGGTTGGGAAGAGATCAATGCAGCTTGGGGTCAATGTGCTTTATTATTACAGTGCATTGGGAAGAAACTTAACTACACTTTTCAAAAGTTAGTAAATTGAGTATATTACTCACGTTTCTTTTTGATGATAATAACTATTTAATATTACTCTTTGTGGTATTTATTAAAAATGCATACAGTTTTATCTTTCAGCTTATATAAATTAATTGGTATATACTGATTTCATGTAAGCTATTTATTAAGTACAGGTTTATCTACCCGGTTTTTAGCCACCTCGTTTGTACATAATAAGTAGGGATACCACCTGGTTGTCAAAATCGAAGTAGACGAGGAAGTGTTAAGTCTCCTACTTCGACACTTTACTCCATTCGACTAGTCCACAGATCACAACGTGGCTTGTATAGGAACGTAATTATTTTTAAAAAGTTGAACTAAGTCAATACAGTCAGAAAGTGTCTGTGTATTTCAAATTTTTCCGCAGGAAGATTTCAGAGTCTTCTTCGCGCTAAATGAATCCCACTTCAGACAAATCTGCCTTGGTAATAGGAGGAATTTGAACGTTCTAGCCCGTAATCACTTTCTCGCCGTTTTGATGGTACTTATTTTTCATCCAATTTCCACTAACTATTTCAGTCTGGTGTGAGAGGCTGCTCAACAGTGCACCACACTATATAACTTATTGAAATGTATTAAGATTAGTAGTAATTGTTCATCAGTTCAATAAAAGTATCATTTTACATATCTCTTAAATTACAGTTTTCTAAATAGTGTGGTGAACACGTTTATGTGGTAGTATTATTTACACATTGTGTTTTATAACTTTTCGATACAGTTGGTATTTGGACGGCAACTAAGTACTTGGTATCGATTCGTAGTTCCTAAATATACAGAATCGTATTCTGGTGTTGAAATAACACTGAATGTATAATAAAATAAAAAATTCATTAGACAGAGCATATTGATTTATTCAACAAAAAAGCAAGCAATTAATTTGTAACTGGTTTACGATTCATGTCAAAAAATTTTTTTTAAATTATGCCTAATATATTTTTCATAAATCATTATAAAATGAAAATCTTGCTAACCAACTCACAGTTATCAAATCATTCGGTGATTTTAATTTTTCTTTCTTATCAAAGTACTGTTTTTATTCCAACGTAGTGTTGAGTACATTTTTTACATCTTCCTTGCTTTATTTCTTTTTTCTCTCTATACATTTAAATTGTTTACTGTTAGTCATCGTATTGTGCCAATGGGAAGCCAATCAAAAGTGGTTCAACTATCGATATCGAAAGAATTTCCTCTTTATTATACTACTGGTGGCATGCGATTATTAAGTGCTGGCAAGTGAGTTTAGTGATATATATATCATCTATGTTTTACATTGAATCACATTTTTCAAATTGATCATATGCAACATTTAGTTTAATAAGGGGAAATAACGATTTATCGAATAAATCATTATTGTTACTTATAAAACGTTTTTTCGCTCTCACATAAATTTAAACAACAAATTTTTGTCTACTTAAGCATATTCATTCAGTTAATTGTTGAAACAGTTCCTGTCTAGAACTGACTATAGCCAGATAATCATTTAAAAACAAAGGAAAGACTAAACAAATGTTTGTTGTGAGAATGTGTCTATATAATACGTATACTTAGCCTTTGATCATCTATTTGCATCTTGTGGCGTGTTCTACATTTTCACTCTCCATAATCTATTGGCTGTTGTATTTGTTTTAATGACACTAAAAATGTAATAATTTATCCCATGTAATTATTTTTTTCTCTATCCCTTATTTCTTTGATATACACATACAGATTCGATACAGCTATGATAAATTTTTTAGATTGTTTAAATCAAGCTCAACAAATTATAGAGCATACATCCAATATACAATTACCTTTTCGCATTAAAGAGAAGGGAAAATTACAAGATCCTGATGGTCAAATTTATTCGATTAAGTGAGCTCTTTTTTTCTTGAAATTGTATTTATAGATGATTGAAATGTCAAAATCCGATGTTCACTTTTTAGTTATTTTCAAATATTGGTGTATATTTTGTTTAGTGAAGAGAAAACAATGAACTGGGTTTTCGAAGTTTTATGTAAGCCTAATGGGAAGTTATGGGTTCTTTCAAATTCAGAAACATTTGAGGGTGAAAAGTGAAAAACAGTCAGTCATCTACAACGTAGGATCAGGTGCATCGGTCCAAGTTGTCATACCTCATTAGCACAACAAGATGAACACTGGATTCATAGAAGTCGTTAATTCATTGGTGGTAATATATAAAAGAAAGATCGCATATAATGATATAGTACAGGAAGAAAGAATTAGTACGTAGAAAGAAAGATATGAAGTGATTTTAATCTCATAGTTTAAAGGAAGACTGAGAGTTTATACACCTACGCCATTGTGATCGATTCTAAGCCATGTCACTCACAGTCTCCAACCATTGATTAAGATAGTTGCGTGAACCCCCACTAAGTAGTCTGCATCTACCAACATGACTAAGGCTAGAAGTTAGTGACTTCAATGACTGATGCCACGTTTTGGCTTGGCCGCCACTAACTTTCTTCCAACCATCCCCAACACTAGTCAACATTGCGCGTCGTGGTAATTGGTGGTTGAGCGTGTGTAATACGTGGCCCAACCATCTCAGTCGATGAAGATTCACAACCTCATCAACTGATTTACCATCATTTCCTAATACCCTGCGTCTAACCTCACTATTACTTACCCGATGATCCCAGCAGATGCGAGCAATATTTCTAAGGCATCTGTGGTCAAATACTAATAGCTTACGAGTGTCTTCCACTCTTATCAGCGTCTTCACTAAACAGTACTATATCATCTTCATATTCTAAGTCGATAAGTGAACCTCCTGGTAGGAGGTCAATGGTATTAAATGGACTCTGACCATGTTCTTTAAAATAATGATATGAACTTCTTGGTAAAAATATCTACAATTCAACGGATACAATGCTGCTCTATCCAGCTGAGCTTTGAATTTTCTTCATCATTTGCAGGAGAAAGTTACTGCATGTTATATACCTTCTAGTGTTACAGTCAAAAACATACGTTACAAAATACTTCATAGGATTTTTTTCCTTTGAACATACTTTATGTATGCGGTTTAATTGTTATGTATATTTTTTAGAAAGATGCCATTAACATCAATCAAAGCATTACCTAGTGAGACTACCGTAAACCTGTTGCGTAATAAGCGAGAATGCTGAAATCACTACTCACAGAGGTCTGGACATACAGACTCGATTACATTGCAATCGATGTATCCGAGCAACAAAACAACTCGCAAAAAGATAAGGCAAAGGGAACTATTTGTGCAGAATAAATTGAACTAGTTATATTTTGTGACTATACTCATCAGCTGCCTTCAGGCTGTAATATTTCAATATTAAAACTTAAATATATTCTATAGGAACAAAGTTGCTCAAAATAGATAGCTGGACACAAGGTATTGAACATAAAGAATAAATAACTAGATAAACTCAGTTTGTTATGAAGTATAGATCTACGACTGAAACGTTTACAAATATGTAATTCAAATGTAAAAATACTGCAATCTCCACTAATCCTTATACTGACAATAATTATGTGTTCACTATTGACTAGCTTCAAGATGGAACTCCTGGAGTTTTAGTGAGAAGCCGTGACCAGTGGAGTCTAGTCCGTGTCGGATGTGAGACAGTTATCTACTTCATACAGTGAATGAAGGGTTGAGCAAGATCATGGATCGATTAAAGTTAGACATTAACAACATTAAATGCCGATTCAGTAGTCTAGAGGGTAAGCGTTTGCGTGCGAGACCGAAGGTCCTGGGTCCGAGTCTCATATGTGGGATCGTGGATGCGCACTACTGAGGAGTCCCGTACTAGGACGTAACGGCTGTTCAGTGCTTTGAGGTTTTCAATGATAGTCTAGCTTAAATCGATTCATGAATAAAACTGAAAAAATACTCTTATTTCCACAAATCCTCAGGCTGATAATATGCATCGAGAACTGCATACTTTTACAAAATAGGTATAGTATTCATGCAATAAACGAAATTAGAACTTAGCTGTTTTTCAATCAATTAATATAGTTTCAAAGTTTCCATATGATATCAAAAAAGTGTTTACAAATCACACTGCTACTGAATGCTTTCATTCTTCTTAGAATAAACACATTTGAAATTTTCTTTTAAGAACATTAAACCGAGTTATATCACTTTATTGAAACAAAACTAAATTATTCGTATCTTTTTTCTTAAAATTTTAAACTATTCACTTAAGATGGAATGGGAATTCTGAAGAAAATTGGACTAAAGCTTTAAAAATGATGCTTATCAATATGAAATGGATTATAGCTGCATTATCTACAAAAAAGAATAAAAAAGTAATTAATATTCAATCAACTCCTAGTACTATTGATAAATAATCCAATAATAATAGTATATCTATGTGTGAGCTAAAACATTCATGTAATTCTCTTTCTCCTATTGTACAGTATATGACTACAATTGTGAATGGTTTATTTTGATTAATATAAGGAATTATTGTATTGTCTTTCAATATTATTTTTAATATATTTAATAATTGTTACATAATAAATGATGAAATAATCATTGTTTACGCCTCTTTTTTCATCAGTGATGGGTGAATTAAAAAGGATTATTATTATTATTATTATTATTATTATCAGAAAGAGGATTGTGTATATAATTGTTTCATTCTTTTATTGTTACATTTACCTTCTTTTTATTGATTGACTACTACTTGGTCAACAATTGGGAAAAATAATTTTTAAGCGAATAAGAATGTTATAGGATTCAAGTTTATATAATACTATTATCAAATGCCTTCTTTGATATCTATACGGTTTTCACATTTTCTGTTCTTAGTTACATTCGAAATTTCAAAATATTACTTATTTATTCATTTGAACACATAAATATAGGTACAAGAATGCGCCACACAAAACAGTGAGAATTTAAAAAGAAGGAAAAAAAGGTAAGGAGGGTAAAAGAAAACAATAAGGAAGAGATTGGTGTAAGGTAGTGTAATAATAATAGTGGTCAGTCAGTCAGTAACAACGTAGAACTTCGTACGTACGTACACCAGTTCGAGTTGCCACACCACATGTAATAATAATAGTGGTAATAATGGGGGAACGGAAAGGTACAATCAGATGAAACCCTTCAGTTAAGGAAGATACAACCATTTTTTTAATGAAGAAAGTAAAAGAAGGTTACAGCAGGATCACCACTGGCTTCTATTCTGAGCCATATCTGCTAACGTCTCTAGCCACTGTGTTGCGCTCTCTGTGACCCCGACCAGGGAGTTGTGAAGGACCAACAGAAGCCAGTCTTTTATAGCATTCTTTCATACCCCGACACCATGTCATATACTGACCACCTCTCCGCTTTTTCTAACCAGTCCCAGAGTCGGCAAATAATGCACGAGGTGGAATTCTCTGGGACGAAATTCGTAGAACATGTCCAAGCCACGGAAGTCGGTGTTTCAAGATGGTGACACCAATTGCATTATCGTCTCTGTGCCCGAACACACGATGCCGAACCTCTGCATTACTAACATGTTGTTGCCATTGGATGTCAGCAATCTTTCGAAGACAACGATGATCGAACACAGAGAGTCGTATTGTAGTGAACGATAACACAAGTAAGGACAACCAGATGTGCTCAATACAAATTTACAGAGTTATTTAGTAAAATATGAATATCATATGTTAAATACTTCATTTGAAAAATGTCTATCAATTGTTTAAGACTTCATTGTTCCTCCATTTCTGCACCGATCTTTGTCTGTTCCCGTTCTCTTCTATTTGAGCTTCTCAATCTTCTACTGTCAGACATTCAACTTTCGATTGGTGTCACATACTATTTATGTCTGTTAATACAAGTAGCACACATCATACTAATAGGAGAAATATTGTATGATTGTGGATACACGATCTATTGCCATGTTTGATATAGTCTGATGTAAGTTCAAAGGCAGTGAGGAAATCATGATAGTATTCATGTAATACAAATTTCATGAAGCGTTTGAAAGTAGAAAAAAATAACGAGGCTGAATTTTGAATTGGTTGATTTACCTTCTTCAACCAGATCTTAATGTTTAGAAAAATTCCCATACTGCGATTTGGAACAACGAGTATAAACGAACAATATTGTTTTCAATTACATCCTCATCAGGCTTTGATCTAATATACAGTAATATTTATATGCATATAAGAAATTATTAAACAAAACAAGGTAGTGTATGAGTCAATGATAACAGTGCGATAGATTTCACAAATATGCACAGTAATAGAAAGTACAAATTGATAGTGTGATGACAGGTGTACTATTTATGATAAGAATAACAAATGCTTGAATCAATGTTTTCTAATAGGAAATAGTTCAATGACTTGAAAAATATAAACATTGAAATAATATGAAAAAATAACTAAGATTATGGAGGGTATTCAATTATAATTTCGTATATGCATATATTTGTTAATGTATTAGGTTAATACATATCCAACTGACGAAACTTGTGTAAGGATCGTATTTCTCGTTTGTATTGTTCCAATAATGACCCATTATTATATAATGTTTTCTAATTTGATTTGTGACTAATTCAATTGGGAACTAACATAGTTATGCATGATTTACGCCCATCTCATGGTAATTTGCTGTGGCAACTTGGCTCAACACATACTTATGCCAAGGCACTAGTTGATGATGTCTATCTGCAGACAATATAACTCAGTTGACAAGGTACGAAATAGAGAGGTATTAGTGTGAACTTATTGTTAAACAGGATTTTAATTTTAATACAAACTGAAATCGGTAAAATTCTACTTGTTCAGCCAAGTTTATGATAACATGAGGAGTAGTACACACCTGCAAAGATATATACTTGGCTGTTGTTTGTAATAATCCTAATAGGTGACGTGTTCATGTGGTATATACTTATAAATTTTTGTACTTTAATATTTATTTAGATAACTATGGAAAATCGATTTCAAAGCTCACATGATCGTAATAGTTGCAACTATAACGGAAATCGATTAAAATAAAAGGGATTTATGTGACTAATTTTAGTTTAGAATTTGATCTAAATCTACTCTTATCTTCGGTTGTTTGATAGAAGCTCTCAGTAACCAGTCATATGTAACCAGTGCACATATGCATCAGTTCAAGCTGCCACTTCAAGTTAGCATAGAACAATGGATTTAACCATATCAGTATTATTGGAGAGGATTAGGTATAACAAATATACTTCAAGGAAAAAAATACAAACCATGAGTCCTCAATAGTCGAAAGATCCAGTTTGTTTATAGATTTGATGTAACCGAAAAAAATATTTTTTTCTCGTTTTCAGGATGTAGCACTAAGACTCGATACATTAGATAAGCGTTCTCCACATTATGCTAACATATATGATTTACGACCAGTAATTGAGAACCAGGTAACAGACCAGACAATCTATGTGTATAGGCTTTTTAAAATTTCTCATTGATGTTTAGGACTACAATTGATTGGTCGCTTTTGGCATCTGTGTGGACTGCCTGGATATTGCAGGCATATCTAACTGAGGAACCCCAAGTAGGACCAAAGGCGCGTCCTGGATCCCACTGCTACTAACTATCCATCTCTACTTAGCAATGCTTGTTACTTATTGGGAATATTGAGGCAATCTTCACAGGGTAAATATATACCAAAAAACTGATCAATTACAGTCTTAAACATCAATGAGGAGATTGAAACAACGGATACAAAGAAACTAAACTATCTAGGCTCAGCAGCTAAGTGGATAGCGCGATCACGTTTGAAGTGAATGTTACTGGGTGCAAGTCCCAGAACGAGCCTAAACAGGATACTGCTAGCCTTTATCTATCTCTGTTTATAGATTATGTGACACTAATAATGGCAGTTAACACCGATTGGAGTTTACAGCGAAATCAGTCATAGGAAATGATTTTAAATAATATATAGTGTCACAATATCTAGCAAGGCTGTATCTTTTTGTCTCCGCTCACCAGTCAATCGCATTTTAAGTTAAATTGTCACCCAACAAGATCAATTCAAATACCAATTTCAGAATATCATTGTGCTAAGGAGATAACACGCTGTTTTAGTGCGTATTTTATAAGACGTTAAAAAAAACTGGTCATTTACCAACTTTAGTATGTAAATAAAAACAGCACTGTTTTAAGTGGGTTCCTATCAGTCATGAGATTAAAAGCTACTTGATCAACCTAACTAAGCTTAGAGATTCCGATAACCAATTAGAATAGATTATTAGAGACTGAACCTTCACTAAGTATGATTCCACTGACTTTTAGAACATCTCATTTGTTTTAAATTCTTGGTTTAAGTTATCTAATTAACTTTGTATCCAAAGGTTGCATTAATCTAAAATCAATTCCTGATGCAACAACATAGGTTTCACACCTAAAAAGGATTTTACACTGGGTAGCTAGTGATAGTTAGGAGAATGTGCTTGAAGCTTTTTGATACTCATTATCAAACTCAGCTCCATTTTGTTCCTTAGACTAAAAGAAAATTTTGTGTAGGAGAGGCGAGTCGGAGAATTCCTTCTGTGGTAAGTTTGAAGGCGTTCATATGAGGTGTGCTAATATGTTCGATAATATTTCTTTTTTTATGTATCACTTCAACTGATAGATGATGAGATAGTTTCAGCGTGAGTTTTTCTGTGTAGTCGTAAGTGTGTATCCTAGTATGAAACATCTGTTTACTGCTGGATAGTTTTAATAATACCTGAACCGAAATGACGAATACGTTCTTCCGATTAGAATAAGCCCTACAAAACCACTTCATCTAAACAACTTGTATATGTATGATTATGAAAAAATAAATCGTAATGTTGCATCACCTACATGTTTCTTGCGTATTACTTTTACATTCAAATGAAAAAGTTTGGAAGAAATTTTAATGAGGCTTCGAAAGCAATTATGATTATCTTACGTTAATACTTCGGAATTTTTCTTTTAAAAATGATATTATTTAGAAAAACTAATTAACTAAAACTTTGACAATAGCCGGTCAAATTGACTGTTAACAGAACATGGAGTTAACCGATTGTGGGGAAATTTTATTTCAACAGGTCAGTAAACTACGTGTTTGAGATATTTAGTGCGACCAATAAATGATTCTCAATAAGTCTGTGGAAATAAACTGAAGAAAAAAAGTCGCAAATTACAATTAATTGGTATTTAAATAATGAACAATGTTGTTCTGTATAATTCCTTCAGTGGTGATTGAATTATACGATTACGTTAAAACTAGTCTAAGTGATATGATAGCACATCCATTATGTCGTGTGTAGTAATTGATGTAATCAATAGTTAACTCTGGATCTAGATTTCATACTACTTAGCATTGGCCAGGAAGGTGTACCTTGAGAAAACTGATGCATCCTGTAGGATTTAAACACACGTCAACCAGCTTCGCAGTCATAGACGTTACCACCAAGCTATTTGTTCCACGACTGACTTGTAAAACAAATATTTACAATTTATTGATTGCTGAATAGTGGATAACGTCATGTTTGTTCAGTCCTTTTTTTTAATAATCAGGAAATAGTAATGAATTAGTTTTTTTGAAATGATCCATAAATAATTTCATATAACGTTGTCATCGATACAAAAAATTTCAGTCATATTAACTGTGAATGACAGACGTTATATATGCATGTGTAGTAAATGGAATACTAATGAACTACAAACTATTAAACTATTTTAATTTAAGGAACATTAGAATATGAATTAAATATTTTGTTTAACCTTTGTATATAACAATGTCAGCTGTAGCAGAACCAAAACAAAAATCTATTGAATTTTTTGTAAGAGTATTAGTTCTTGAAATAAATTTCGTATATTACGGCTAGGTGTTCAAAGCATTAATTCCAGAATGTGGATTACTTCTATGATGTTATGGAAGAAACTGTGACGTAGTGAAATAGCGTGAAAGTAGTTTAATAAAGTAGGTGAGTTTATGATTTTTGACCCTCGTGATCATTTCATTACTTTATTTTTTTATTAATCAAATCTAACCATGTAAAAACATTCCTCGAAAGAATCTCGAACCAATTTGCCGGGTGAAACGTTGGAATCATTTAGATTTCAAATACGAATAGAAAATTTAATATCTTCATTGTATTTGACGCCCAAATTCTATTGAACAATTCATTCAAATTATTTTGTAACTGTTATATTGTTTGTCAAATATGACAAGATGAAGGTGTTACAATTTTGTTCCTTTTATTCTTTTAGACTTAATCAAATGAGAATAATGCTAAATAAATTAGTTTGAGATTTCGCTCATTTTATAGAACTTCAGTGATGAGGAAAAAAAGCAGATTCATGAACTCATATGATTATGATTGGAAATATGGTAACTAACCTAAGGAAGTCAATAAATCAACAACAACTAAAGATTTGTAAATTAAACTTATTCATACTGTAGTGAACAGAACACGGGTGGGGACAAATGAATGTATTTAGCACAAAATTACAGTTACTTGGTAAAATAGAAAAACCATATAGTAAGTCGTTAATTTACAAAATATCAATCCATCATATCTAACCGGACTGCTCCTGTTGCAGACATCAATCCATTGTCTCACATTTCATTGTTCATGCGTTTTCCTTACAAATCACATTGTGTTCCCGCTCTTCCTTTCTTGATCTTGCCCAATCTTGTGCTGCCAGACATTACGTCTGTAACTCGCGTCATATACTACTTACATCAATATAAGTAGCACGCACAATACTTAATATCAGATAATCGACCAGATATACATACAACTGACCAGTCAACTACGCTAATTTCAAGCGAATTACATAATATCATGGATTTACAAGTGTACACTTATTAACATTTCATACGATACTACAAAACTATGTGCCAAATGAATGCATCATACATTAATTTCCTTGGTTATTTCTTTAAAAGAAAGTTACTATCCAAATGACTAATGCTGAACCGATCTATTTACTTATTTATGTATATATTTATATACTGTCTATTTATACAGTTTAATTTCATGAATCGCATTGCATTACATTATCATTTATTTGGATGATAGTATTACAATTAATGTCAATATATACACACCAAGTACAACTAATATTTACACTCTCATTGTGTTGTTAATGAATCTGTGATTATTTATCAATACAAATAAAATACCAAGTGAATTACATGAGTATTTATGTTAAAACAATTCATGTGGCAAACAACAAGAGATTTATAGATATATATAGACCCAATAACTCCGCCTGGAGTCCCTCCGGAGGCTACTGACGGACCCAATGTTAGTTATGTAAGAAACTAAGTATTTACTATAAACATAAATGATCAACGTGTATTTCATCTAAATCAAAAAAAAATATTAGAAAACATAGTTTCAATGAAATTAATTTATTTAAAATTCACAGTATGAATATAAATTAATAACTTACAAAGTCAATTCTTTATTATTTTTTGTAACAGTAATAATATTAAGTAGTAATGAAATAGGGAAGTAAGCTAAAGTATAGAGCAGAATAAACACAATAAAATATGATTTCCTCTGCTAATAATAATTTATCAAGAATATGTTTTAACAACACAAGAAAGAGGGAGAAAGAGAGAGAGCAAGAATTAGGAGAAAAATGCTTATCATTACTATCTGAATTTTCTGGTGAAATCTTTATTTGTCTGACAATCCAATATGTTATGTATGTTTAAGTAGGTGCATATATTCAATTATTTATACTTTTTTATAAGTAGTATTTTATTGAATATCAGTAGTTTGAAAAATGAATCTGAGTATAATACTAACGCTAGTTTATTAACAATCATCATATGAATACTGAGAAGATTGGATAAAACACTTGAAATGAAAGAAATTACAATACAACAGGAGAATAAACACAAAACATATACACACATCAACTATGATAGTGTACTGGAAGACATATTTTTTTCAACAATCAGTAAATTTTAAGGGAAATTAAGGAAAGATACAAAAGGTTTATTAAACACACACACATCAATATTTACGGAAAGAGATGAAAAACGTCTGATGGAAAGGAAAAAAAACGAAATACACAGATGTGTTGTGTTATATATCACCGGATGTCATATTATTGATTTAAGTTAGAGATTATAGACAACTATGTATAAACTGAGGTGTTTATATGCGTGAAATGAAAAAAAAGTTGGAAAGCAACATGTATTTGGGGTGAGAGTGGGCCATGAGACAAACACACACACACACACACAGTAACACCACAGACAAATACCAAAATCAAAATGCATGATGATTGGCAAATGTGCAACTTAACAAAATTAACATATATAATCTTAATTTGTAATAATGATCGTAATAATAATGATAATAATAATAATGCATGATACTAATAAAAATTCAGTTGTATTTTCTTTGATTATAGAGTACTGTCCAATGAATGAATTAGTATTTTGCCAATTATTTCTTTAATACGAAATTCATAAGACTATGAAAAACCTTCATTAATTAGAATAAAATAATAATTTAAACAATTGTACCAGGCCAAGAAATCACTTGTAAAACAACATCTCCTGATGCTTGTTTCAATAAACGAACTGCAGATGAATGGCGAATATTAAGCATGGATATGTTATTCACAGCTAAGATTATATCACCGCATCTATTTTACAGAGAGAGAAAAAAATCACGGAATTAATTACAAGCAGGAATATTGATTATAGACTTTTAAAACAATGAGGAATAGCTTTTTTGAGCATACATTGTTTGCAAGAGCAAAAACGATTTATCTTGTGAACATAATGAGAAACGATTATTACTTAAACCAAACTTTATCTCTCTTATGTAATTCGTTAATGACATATGCACATACACACAGACATTTGGGACCTGTAGTTTAATAGCGAAGTTTTCCGTAATTGCTTTGAAAATGAATCTAAAACTGTTATGAATTAAAATTTTATGAACGAATTAACAAATGATAGATACAACGTAATGATGCCATAAGACCCAATAATAATTTTCCACAAGATCGGTTTACTGACGTATGGCATTGAATAATTTGAAATCAAAGACAAAATCACTAACTAGAGTAGATTTCCCATTTTAAAATATGAAATGTTTATATATAAAATACTAATAACCATAATAAGATGTTACGAATAATTGGAGAATATAAATTTCGAAGGTTTCTTACTATCTATAACACTAAGACATTTTTTATTATATCAGAAACCAGTCTATCTAATGTATTTAATGAAAATTTATGTTTCACTTATGTAGAGAATAAGATAGTTATCCATGATAAAACTTAAAAATTGTTATGCTATTTCTAAAAAATAATTGGATAGAATTTTCGACTCATTTTCGAAGTTTCTGCTTTCTCTTCTAAGTTTTGAAAGTCCTGGGTACGATCGGACGTGAGAATTGCAACTGTACTATAATGTGAATTTTCAAATAAGATCTAAACAACTGTCTTTAGCTGCTTGGTTTTTAATAGGTTCTTCGGTCGATAACAGTTCGTGATAAAAAGATCCTTCAATCAAATCCTCGTTTAGGAATTCGTAAGAATTTTCATGTACAATATGACAGAAATTAATAATAATAATTAAATAAATGATTTTTGGACAGTAGCCGTTGATATGCAGTCAGGAATGCGGAATGAACTCTTTAGGACGAGGATATCATTTCGTTAATGAAATGGGAAAAGCGAATACTGATTTTTCCTAATTTTTATACAGAATGACATTAAATTTTTGGTTGAACATAGATTACACAATATCGTTCACAAGAAAGGATTATTGAAAGTGATGTTCCACTGGGAACAGTTAAACCTAGTTGATTTGGTGTAACAATATTTCCGCATACTCAAGGTCGAGAAGTCTTTCTCCAGGCAACAGATCCACACCGCCATTACTTACATTCATCAGAGCTGTTCCCAGAATGTCATCGATGGCAAATTTGAAGAGGAATGGTGCGATTGGGCAACCTTGCCTAACCCCACTACTCGAATTGAACAATGGAGAGAGGTGGTTGTATGCCTTCACTCTGCCTGAGGTATTTTTATATATGGCTTTTAGGATGTTAATAAACTTCTCAGGCACACCCTTCTTCAATAGACAATCCCAGAGAACAGTCCTGTCCAACGAATCGAAGGCAGCCCTGATGTCAAGAAACACTACGATTGTTGGCCTTTGATAAGTATGGCGATGTTCTAACATTTGGTGGAGGGTGAAGATATGATCAATACATCCTCGACCAGAACGAAACCCAGCCTGCTCCTCGCGAATCAATCTTTCTCGGGGTTTGAACAACCTTCAAATTTTGACGGAAGCCAATAGTTTGGACGAAATTGGAAGTAGACTTATCCTCCGATAATTGTTACATGAACGACATAAAAAGTTTTTAAAGATAAGGACAACTATCGACTCATAACTTGACGTTGGTACACTCTCTAATTCCCAAACCTTTGTAAACAACGTCGTCAGTTCCTTAGTGAGAAGGTCACCACCATCTTTAAAAAGAGCAGGAGGTAGGTCATCTGGGCCTGGTGATTGGTAGCGCCTTAAGAGTTGGAGCTCCTTGCGGATTTCCGCCTGATTTCGTGAATCATTCGTCACCGGTCTTGAAGGACAGGATAGTCTGACCGATGTTGCTGGAGCAGTATGCCAGTTGAACTGCCGTCGAGAGACTCTGACCATCGTCCAACACACCGATGGATGTTAGTGATTAACATCCCGTCATCCTCGCAGATTGTTTCGCTCACACCAGACGTCTTGCTGCCAGTGGCTCGGATGAGTTGGAAGATTTTCCGGTCATTACCAGATGCAGCTGCTGCTTCCAGCTCATTAGCACGCTTCGACCACCAGGCTTCTCGGTCCTTACGCAAGCTTTGCCCAAATTCCTTACGTAACATCCTTCGTTTGTGGTCGAACTCACGGTCACCCGTAGTAGACCGAAGAACTTCAATGAGTTGTAAGGAGCCTGAAGAAACTCAGTGCTTATAAGCGGGATGTTTCGCGAACCCACAACTGTCTGTACCCGCCATTTTCATGGCGTCATGCAATTGCAACCAATGCTTATCTATACTTTCCAGTGGAATGGTAGCTAGCCTAGCAGCTAGCTCGATTCGATACTTACTTGCAACAGAAGTTGCAACCAACTTGCTAACACCAATCCGTTGGTGACGGTCACTTCGTTGTCCACTGAAAAGTAAGGTAAGATTGGCGCAGAGCAGGGCATGGTCAGAGTCTAGATAGGTACTCTAAAGGGAGCGGCGGTCTTGTACACAACCAGGCCAGTGGTAGCTGATCGCGATGTAATCAATCTGAGTCCAGGCTTGGGATGCAGAGGGAGGACGCTAGGTGGCACATCGTCGATGACTGTGCCGAAAGTTAGTGCGAGCCAGAAACAGGTTGTGGTCTTTGTACAGTTGCAGTAGACGGTCCCTGTTATCTGTCCTGCGACCAACAAGTCCCCATCGAACACCTAAACGACTCTCTTCTGTGCCTAGACGCCCGACCTGAGCATTCAAGTCTCCAGCTAGTACTACAATATCTGTCGAACGCACTTTCTGGAGAAGAACAGATAACTGTTAGTTAAACTCGTCCTTGATTGCATCCGGGCTGCAATCTGTCGGGGCATAGGCGGAGATGACGAAAAGACATCGTTTCTCACACCGATTTCTTCTCACTTTGATGAAACGTTCTAATCTAACAGCACATAACCGACTGCTAATGGGGATCCAATCGATTAGTGCTGCCTCAGTTCTAGCGCTTAGTGCGACACCAACGCCAGCAAGACCAGACGAAGATGCCACAGGGTCCCCGGATAAGCGCACGTAAAACAAGCTTTTCGAGGCGACAGATGGAGAGGGAATTCGTAGTACTTCACTAGAGTCTTGAATACGGGTCTCGGATAGACAGCAAACATCGATATGAAGACTTTCCAAAGACATAGCCAGCCCTATCTGTTGACCAACCTGCATAAGTGTGCGAACGTTGAAGGCAGCCAGTTTGAATGGTGCACGTGGTTTCAGAAAAACTGCTTCAGTTTTCGTATTCGGTGGTAACATACAATTTTCAACCAGGCAGTGACTCGAGAGCATTTAGATAGAACCGAGTTTTTACCATAGGCGAGCTGCTGTAGAAAAGTTATTTTTATGCGATGAATCATCAATTAAAATGATAAAAAAAAGTCAAATAAAAATAACAGAATTCACAACGACTTCTATAATTGAATATTAAGAAATGTAAAATTCATTCTTCTAACGATTAAATCACATTCATTTAGTTGCATGGTTAAAATTCTCTTTTATAGACTGAACAAGTGATTAGGACAAACGATTTTCGCATCAGAAGTGACCTTTAAGTATTGTAATCCATTTAACTAGTAAAGATTTACGTACTTATCTACTTGATATCTTAAGTTAAACTAGTTCATAGGATGAATTTACAACTTTGTGAGTCGGCTCTTCATTTCATTTGAAACCACATGTCTGAAGTGGAACCATATGAGAAAATGTAGTTGAATAATGAGACGCACTTACTTTAATCGACCGTCTTTGTGAGCTAGAAGACCAGGAACTATAGATTTTATCACAATAGGTGAGGGATATAGATTTGAGTAACCCACTTTAGAGGATACTTTTGGAGATGATTTACTCAGTTTTTCATCTGAATTATTTGAATTAGCTTGACTTGTTGTACTTTGATCATGACCTAGGCCGCCAACAATACTGAAACCAAGTGGTTGAGAGATAGGACAATCACTATAGCTAGGAGTGCTAGCTTGTCGTCGAAGAAGTATAACTCGAGCAAGTTGACATACTGGAGGTAATCGAAGCCAATATGTCCATGATGGCATGAAATTCTCCGGACCATCACTTGTCTCAGGAGCCGTAATCACACGTAGTTGTATATGCGTTTGTATTGAACTAATTCTTCTAAGAACTTCCACAGCTTCATGATGAGTTAGCCCAACTAAACCTATACCATTTACTTCTAACAGAATATCACCTCTTTGAATCTAAACAAAATTGAAACCAATTTGAACAACCATTAGATCTCTATGTAATTCAAACAAATAGTAATAGTTTTAATATATTTGGATAGTGGCTATTACCGAAATCCAGAACACATTTATTGGCTTGTTACCTGGTTGTATCTACATCCCAATGTTGATGTTCATTACATTCAGTTTATTTAGCCACTAATTTTGTTCATTTAGTGTGTTTAATCATACGTGCGTGCACAATAAACAAAGACTGGACAAAGCTCAATCCTGAATACCGATAACGTGATAATACCAATAATTATGAATAAATAAAAATGCCATTATTAATGCACTATTAATTATGTAATACTTTGTGATATAATAGATACTGGAAAACGAAGTACAGGTTTCTTTCAAAACTATAACTCAAGAAAAAAGGGAAACTAAACTTATTCAACAGCTTTTATCAAAAATGATGAAATGTGCGATTTAAACTTAACTTAATAGGGATGTATTAAAAGACAATTAATTGCTCATAAAACACATATTCTTAGTATATATTCATAATGATATCAACTCTATTGAAACTGGACATAAGACAACTGAAATATGTCAGATGTTATAAATTATACAGACAAAATATCCCAATTACAACATACACCATACATATATCATAATTATTCGCATTCAAAAACCATTGTCACTAATTCAACGAAGAATCTAGATAGGGGATTTTTCTATTTAACTGATCATGAAAAATAACTGCATTTTATATAAACCCTAACTACACAATTTAATATTACTATTAATTGAAGATAAGTAGTCAGATTATTTTCATTACTGTTAATTAGAAGAACTGATCATATTAATGACAATACATTTTTCTTTTTGGTTCATAAATCTTGATATCCTATGTATTAATCAAGTCTCACTGAACAATGTTAAATTCGGAAAAATTTACAAAACAATAAAAGATTATAATACAGTAGGATTCGAACTCATAACAACACTAAGCAACACTTCAATAAAAAGATACATACAATCATATGGTTACAAAATTTCCTGTTGTGAAAATAATTCAATAAAACCAATATAATAATAATAATAATAATAATAATAATAATAGTAAAACACGAAAGTAAACTTTTGAACCAATAGATTATAAGGGGAATGTAAAAAGAATAGTAACATATAAGAATACAAACAGAGATAATTATATGAAGTCAGAAAAAGATTTATGCAAAAAATAGAAAAGATAGAAGAAAAAACTTAAGAGTAAAGATTTCAGATAGAAGAAAACGGGAGAGCACGTGAACTAATTGATGATTTTCGCGTGATATATGTATATATAAAATCAAGAAAAGGGAGATTTTTTGAAGGAGTACATTACTGATTCACATGATAATAATTATAAGGTAAACTAAAAATAAGAGCCGATAGTTAAGTAAGAAAAATTGAGCGCAAAGAGAAAAAACGAATAGGAATACCTACAATACATTATCGAGATTAGTTTGTTATTATCCAATAAAGGACGGCATTGTTATTTACTAACTATTAGAATGTGGCTTGATGATTGACGTAATCTCTTTTCAAATGTTCAATGCTGAGTTTTAATTATAATCTATCTGAATAATTAAATAATGTATGCACTGGATTGGAAATGATGCTAACAAATGTTCTGAAGAGAAACTAATGAATTTATTACGTAAAACTTTTATTGGTTTTACGCTATTTCTGAAACACTTGAAATTTATGTAAGTAAAATGTAATTGCCAATTACTCGCAGGTTTTGCTTTCTATCTATCTCCATATATCTCTGGTCTCAATCGTAAGCTATTAGAAAAAAAACTGTATGATGAAAAAAAACCCATTTCACTGAGACTTCAATGGTAGTCGGGTTTGGAATAAAACGGTCGTTTATTTGTTTTGATTGAACTGAATTATAAAAGGCAAATACTAAAACCGGCATATCTCTACTCAGATATGATAAGGAAAATAATTCTGAACATTAAGTCCAAAGCGATATTAATCGCTCATTAATTACAATGAGAAATCTGATCAGGATTTTATTCCGGACTTCTAGCAACAGATGCATTCACATTAAGTTTCATATAATCGGTGCGAAGTATAAAAGAAATAAATTGGTTATTCACGTACCGACTTTGATCGACCCAGAACACACTCAGCACTAATATTCGTTACATAGATGGGTGTATCTCCACGCTGTGAATGACGTCCTCCAGCGATCGATATACCCAAGGGTTCTTCTGAACTTTTATTCACAACAATAGTCCTTTCGTGACATGATGAATCAGCTGATGAGGACTAGATACCAAAATGTGGATAACAAAAATAAATGAGTAATGTGTACTATTTTAAGACAGAATGGGACATTATACAAAAGGTAACAATTAAGTTTATAAGTTGACTTTTCTTCCCAATGTTGTCCATAAGAGTTTGGAAGATTCGCATTGAAACAAAGGAGACGGATTGACAAAGAATTAACTCTCTCTCTCGTTTTGAACAACTTAGAGAACAGGAACTAGAAACGACAATCCCTGTGGAGATCATCAAAGAATTATTACTAAAATGCACTATGAATGTACATTTCAAATTCAATGACGAAATCTACAGACAAATAGATGGCGTCGCGATGGGTTCACCCCTGGGTCCCATATTGGCAGACATTGTCCTTTCTAAACTAGAAAACGGTCCACTAGCACAAGAGATCGATAAGTTTATGTTCTACTGTCGATATATGGGTGATACATTTATCCTTTGTAACGAGCACACGGACTTGATAAGAACACTCGAGCAATTCAATACAGCTCACCCGTCCATAAAATTCACATGTGAGAAAGAAAATGGGGGTAAAGTAACCTTCCTAGATGTTCTGCTTACAAGGAGAAAAGATGAATCGCTAAAAAGAAACATAAACAGGAAAATGACCTGGACGGGTCAATATACTAACTTTCTCAGTTTCGTTCTTCTACAACAAAAAAGGAACCTTATTAAGACACTACATCATATAATCAAGACTATATGCACTATGGACACGATTGACGATGAAACAAAGACATTATTTAAAACCCTGAAGGAAAATGGATATCCGGAGAAATTTATCAATAAAAACTTAGCCAATAAAAGAGCGTAGAGAGTGCCCAACGGTAAATAAAAAGCTTCTATATATACGATTACAATTCAAAGGCGATGCACCGAGTGAAATGTTAAGATTTAAGTTAAGTAGATCAATTCAAAGGACTTTTAATGCAGCTAAACTACAACTATTCTCTACACGACCAATAATCACTCCGAGGTTGAAAGATAAATTACCTAGACTAGCCACCTCCTTCTGTATCTATCAATTCAACTGCTCCCGTGGAGCAAGTTATATTGGCAGATGTTCTAGGAATTTGTACGTTCGGGCTTGTGAGCACCTACCCGTGTGGTTAAGCAAAGGTGTTGTCAAAACTGCTAACAGCTCCATCTTAGACCATTTAGTCTAAACAGGACATACAGCAAACATGGAGCAATCTTTTGTAATAATCTATCGTGTCAACAGCAGTCTACCAAATTCCGTCAGACTGCGAATCCTACAGACGGCTGAAGCAACTGCTATTCGGATCAAAAAGCCAGAGCTTTGTATCCAAAAGAAGTATGTTCAGCCACTCCTTTTAGCCTGGCCAACTAGCTAATAGTCAATCATATAATGTGGTGACGTAATCTGATTGATGTTCATTTTATGTCCCAAACTTATTATTATTATTATTATTATTATTATTATTATTATTATTATTATTGTCTTTACACTTGATAACCCTTTATTGAGGAATTTATTCAATATCCACCCCTGGATCTACTATATTTAACCTAATTATTTTGCATATTACGTAATTTCCGATTTGTAATCACAATATTCTCTCTCTCTCTCTCTCTTACGCCATGTTGACCATATTTATTCTGATAATTTATCTCACAATTTCATTTCGCTTATAAACTGATTCAAGTTAACACTTCATATTAGTCATCCCAACATTAACGATTTATATTTATGTAACAAAAAATAATTCCTGATTCACATATTACAATTTCCAAATAATGTACTCTGCCTTAAATCTGACCAATTTTATGGATTATTAATCTGGATAACAAGTCGTAAGGAGTGCATTGTAAACTCTACTTCAATCGGCGTCAAGTAACAGTTAGAATTAATGTACGAAAACCTTCGATTATATGACTAACTATTAATTAGACCGAAGTTTTCGTATGTGACAGAGCCTTTTTATTGCTCATTGTCTAACTTCACCAGCTTGTAATATTTATGATGATAAATCATTTCACCAGGTCATATGTTGCTTAGCTTTCCTACTTACCTATAGAAATCACTAATAGGAGTAGTTAAACATTTGAATTATAAATCTCAGTAATTGAAATTAATGCAAGTTCTGTTTGTTTGCATGTCATCACAAAAATATTTATAAGAGGCTGACACCGATCACTGCCTAGACAGTATTCCTATAAGTGAGAGATACTTGGAATCAATTAGTGATTGACTACATTATCCAACTTTTGTAGTCACATCTTTAGAAATAAATAAATAAATAAAATGGATTATTGTGCAATCATTGGATTACTTAATAAAATTTATCATATGTGACTAACACTAAGAAAGTAGTAAATGTTATGACGTTCCAATACTACCAATTTACATCCAATGACCCTAAGTTCAAGTAAAATTACAATTTAAAATGGTGATTGATAGGTAACTAAGTCTAACAATTGTTTTTAAACAGAGATAGAAGTTAGACAAATGAGGAGTACTAGGAAGGTGGTAAGATCGATCTACCTTAAATTTTGCAAAATAAAGTTTTGAGATCTCACAGTAGAATATATATATCGTCAAATCAAAACTAATCGAAGCACATAGAGAGAGCTTTAGAATTCTTCTAGTCGCAAAAAAATAAATACCTGAGTGGACTCAATTAACCTGAATTACCTGTAGACATTTCGGAAATACGTGAGAACTAAAGAGTGCTAGCTACCCCCATTCTGAAAAAGAAAAGGTCTTGGTTACCACTGTCTCCATTATACACAGAGAGAAGCTATGACTACAAAATGCTATGGAAACTATTTCGACATTACTCAGCCATAGTTGTGTCTCACATTTCAACTTCTGAACTATCTACTTATGAAAAATATTCCTCTCGCTCCAAATAACAATCAAGTAATTCGCATTATTATTATTATTATTATTATTATTATTATTATTATTATTATTATTATTATTATTATTATTATTATTATTATTATTATCTTACTACGTCATTCTTCACCCTCTTTTATTCCCCACTCTGTTTATACTTATTTTTTCCACTTATACAGCAGATCGTCTATGGTGGAAATTCGACTCTATCTAAACGTTCTCGAATCACTGCCTGGTTGAAAATTGTATGCTACCACCAAATACGAATACTGAAGTAGTTTTTCTGAAACCACGTGCACCATTCAAACGCTGCCTTCAACGTTCGCACACTTATGCAGGTTGGACAACAGATAGGGCTGTCTATATCTTTAGAAAGTCTTAATATCGATGTCTGCTGTCTATCCGAGACTCGTATTCAAGACTCTAGTGAAGTAGTACGAATTCGCTCTCCATCTGTCGCTTCGAAAAGCTTGTTTTACATGCGCTTATCCGAGGACCCTGTGGCATCTTCGTCTGGTCTTGCTGGCGTTGGTGTCTCATTAAGCACTAGAGCTGAGGCAGCACTAATCGATTGGATCCCCATTACCAGCCGGTTATGTGCTGTTAGATTAGAACGTTTCATCAAAGTGAGAAGAAATCGGTGTGATAAACGATGTCTTTTCGTCATCTCCGCCTATGCCCCGACAGATTGCAGCCCGGATACAATCAAGGATGAGTTTAACTAACAGTTATCTGTTCTTCTCCAGAAAGTGCGTTCGACAGATATTGTAGTACTAGCTGGAGACTTGAATGCCCAGGTCGGGCGTCTAGGCACAGAAGAGAGTCGTTTAGGTGTTCGATGGGGACTTTTTGGTCGCAGGACAGATAACAGGGACCGTCTATTGCAACTGTACAAAGACCACAACCTGTTTCTGGCTCGCACTAACTTTCGGCACAGTCATCGACGATGTGCCACATAGCGTCCTCCCTCTGCATCCCAAGCCCGGACTCAGATTGATTACATCGCGATCAGCTACCACTGGCGTGGTTGTGTACAAGACCGCCGCTCCCTTTAGAGTACCTATCTAGACTCTGACCATGCACTGCTCTGCGCCAATCTCACCTTACTTTTCAGTGGACAACGAAGTGACCGCCGCCAACGGATTGGTGTTAGCAAGTTGGTTGCAACTTCTGTTGCAAGTAAGTATCGAACCGAGCTAGCTGCTAGGCTAGCTACCATTCCACTGAAAAGTATAGATAAGCATTGGTTGCAATTGCATGACGCCATGAAAATGGCGAGTAAAGCCACTTGCGGCTTCGCGAAACATCCCGCTTATAAGCACTGAGTTTCTTCAGGCTTCTTACAACTCATTGAAGTTCTTCGGTCTATTCCGGGTGGCTTCCGTCAAAATTTGAAGGTTGTTCAAACTCCGAGAAAGATTGATTCGCGAGGAGCAGGCTGGGTTTCGTTCTGGTCGAGGATGTATTGATCATATCTCCACCCTCCGCCAAATGTTAGAACACCGCCATACTTATCAAAGGCCAACAGTCGTAGTGTTTCTTGACATAAGGACTGCCTTCGATTCGTTGGACAGGACTGTTCTCTGGGATGCAATTGGTGTCACCATCTTGAAACACCGACTTCGGTGGCGATCCTGCTGTAACCTTCTTTTACTTTCTTCATAAAGAAAAATGGTTGTATCTTCTTTAACTGAAGGGTTTCTTCTGATTGTACCTTTCCGTTTGTCCATTATTACCACTATTATCATTACACTACCTTACACCAATCTCTTTCTTATTGATTTCTTTTACCCTCCTTACCTTTTTTTCCTTCTTTTTAAATTCTGATTGTTTTGTGTGGCGCATATATATTTGGCGCATTCTTGTACCAATATGTATGTGTTCAAATAAATAAATAAACTTCTTAACAGAGACTTCTTTTCATACTGAGTGCGAACAGATATTCTGGACGAAGTTGTATAGATAGCATCCTGTTTAAAACCTATATAGTAATTGAGAAACAAGTATAAGGGACCTACTTTGAATAACTGCATTATTCATCTAGTCGAGTTTATTACCCACAAATCGTCTACATAATTTTGGACAAATATAAGTACCCAAACGTAGCAAGCATAGTTATTCAGCTCTCAACTATGGAGATTTCCATGCAGTTTTAGTCTTATTTCCCTGAGCATTTGGTTGGCTAAGAGTATGAGTATGGATTAGTGACTGAGTGGTACGGCAGAAAGAAACATGTAGAAATCATAAGAAAAATGAAAGGAACACATAAGAAATAGACTAATATAAGATCGGAAGCAAGAAAACACAGTAAAAACTTACAGTCAATTGTTTATCACTGTTTCGACTATGCGGACTATTTGAAGTAGCTGAATCTACAGGATTAGAACGATTTGTCAACTCGTTACAAGTCTGATTCACTCTTTCCGGTCGATGATTCTCGTCAGTTGTCGTTGATGATGACAGATTGAAGCAGGCTAATTTCTGTTCATTTGAAGAATGAATTAATTCTGTAGTTGAATGAGAAGTAGTGTCAGATAGATTTACGTCTCGGTCTTCCATGCTTGGCCATGCAAAATTTTGGACTGGTTTTGATGATTCACGATTATTATTATTATTATTTTGACGTTGATTATTCGGATTGAGCTGCAATGGTTCCAAAGCTAATAAACTATTCTCTGATTTCTCTTCTGAATCTGTTGTAGTTCTTAAAATATCTGGTGTATCAGATCGATTTCGACGGCTTATTTTAAAAATAACATAATCCGAAACAGACTAAAACAAGAGGTGATTAATAAAATAACAAGAAAAAAATATATAATTGGGAGAAAAGAAAGGCAATCTTTTTTAATAGCTGAATATAATCAACGTGAATAACAAGTGCTACAAGCACGTAAACATTTATACTAAAAATTATGACAATAAGTTTAGCTCATGTTTTTATTCGAAATTGGGCGATTTTACACATTACAAGTGAGAGTACAACTTTGAATGAAAAATGATTTTTAACTCATGGACGAGAAAAAAGTGAGATCATAATGTGAAGCCTGTTGGTATTTCAGAACGAGTAGTTTACAGTTTGGGATGTGAAGAGAAAAAGTTGTTTCGAAACAAGTATTGCTAAAACTAAACCACGTGTACAAGGATTTAACTAGGAGCTCAAAGAGTATTATTCATACATGTCGCAGTGAATCTGAGCCAAGCGAGTTCCGTTTACGGTCTGAATAAATCGGAATAAAATCTACGAAATTCAGCAAAGATTTGAAATAAAAGTTTAGTAAGACTTCTATGCAAATAAAAATACTATGATCATAAACTACATAGTTGATTACCTTTAAAACGTTGAACAAATAAATCACGATGGAAGTCAAATCACCGAAAAAATTTCGGTTACGAGACCAAAACTTCGTTAGTATGTAATGAATGCTACGGAGATTTTTACATTTTCAATAAAGATAAAGGACTAATGAAGTAACTAGGATGTACTGTATTCGTAGACTCATCCTACCAAATGAAGATTTTTAGTTAAGACAGATAACTTATTGTAGCAGACGCTGATGTTATGTAGGACGATCAAGAAAGTTATGCAGTTGAACCATCCAACTCAGAGAACATAATAACAACAAACTACCTATTTGTTGATCGTCAACGAAGATTCATTGTATTGTATAGATGAGAACCATTAATTATAACTCTGTTATGTTTGAATCCATTAGAAAAGTTGACAGATCACCATTGACTGACATATTTAAAAGATACATTATTAACATTCTAATATTCTACCCAGTTCCTCATTCATGGGTTATTATATGATAATAAAAATTGAAGTGAAATCTATCTCATTTTCTGTGTGTTGGGACGAAAGCTATTAATCAGATTGGAGAGTCATATGACGGAGTGGTAATAGATAAACGATTACTTTATTACCATGATTACAATGTAAGGGATGTATACACGAATATAGATATTTATAGCAAGATATGTATAAATTATTTAAATAGACCTTGAGTTCATGGACTATATTTAAGTACGATGTCATGTACTTAAAGTGCTAAATATATATTTGGCACGTATACATTCATTTGAACAGAATGTTAAATAATAAATGAACTACCGAAAAAAATACTGAAATTATTCGTACATGATTTACTGGTTTCAAATCAATTCAATCTCATCTCTGTTATTAATAGAAGGGTTACAAAATAAAAGCTATAATAGGAAATTGAAGATGATAAAAACTAACAAACATGACAAAATGTTTTTAAAGACACCTGACATGCATACACGACTGAATGTCCTTGGTATTAACTATAAGGACTAATTTTTTCCACTGTTGATATTCAAACTTAATTGATTCCTGTTAGCACAGATGAGACTCCAATGGATATTTCAATGTCCCTTACAGTTACAAATTTATTATATTTTGGATAGTATATTTAGCTGACAATGCCCGAATTAAGATGAAAAAAAGAGTTCTGGATTTAACTATTAGTCGTTATGATGTCAATAGAGAAGTAAAGAAGCCATGACGAACGACGGAGGCTATTTTTGCGAATACTATTTCGCTTAAGTCAAAGTTTGTGAAATACTAATGTTTAGTTTGTTCCAAGGTTATTTTGTAAACCATAAGCCTTCATTTGATGCACGATTCACTGTCATACACTTTACTGTGCCGAAGTTATTTTAATTTAAACGTAACCTTTTGTACGCTATTTCTATCCTAATGCCTAGTTTGTATTTTTCTAATTGTTTGTGCATTATGGTCGTCACCTATTTATTGATATATATCTTAAATTAATCTGGATCGGGAATAAATCGAGTAGTTTATAAGAATATTCATAAACATTAGGACGAATAGTTTGACAAAAATTGGGCGCGGAGTATAGAGAAGACATTATATGTGAAAATTATATTTGAAATAATCCCAGCGATTGAAATTTAAACAATTCCAAAGTTTTGTTCAGCAAACTTGTCTGGACCTCTTCAGGGTAATAATCAAAGTCAAAATCATCAAAGAAATATACTATGTTTAACAACCAAATCAAGTTTATACTGTGCTTATCCAATCGTATTCAGATGTTGACTTTAGTAAGTAAGATAACATAAGTCAGTTATATGCGAATCATGTGAAAAGTTCACAATGTGCAGATAGAAGAATGAATGATTGTGTGTGTGTATAAGGTTGAGTTATTAATAGTTGACATTCGGTATTAATTTGCCTTTATATGAAGGAAAAATAAAAGTTCAAGTCGAAGGTTGAAATTGTCTCTGAATCATCGATGTGTATGTAAAATGAGAATCATCAAATACATAACTGTATTCCTAAAATATCCAACATTAATTTAAGTCAGAATAACGATGCGTGTGAAATAAACAAATTGGGTAGAGAAAGGGCCCAATTACTTGTTAACGAACATTTGTCAAGTAGTTGCTAGTTGAATATCATTTCTTCTGTTCAGGCTGTTCTTATTAGCCCATATATACAGCGCGTCTGCTTCCAGTCATTCTTTATATGTGCCAAAACCTTTCTGAAGTATTTTGGTCCCTTCGAAATCAATTTTGTGCTCTGTTTCTAACGCATGTAACGCTATCGCCGACCCATTTTCAATTTTTTTCAGATCAACCGAGGATTTGGGAACATTTTTCAAACATTGCTAGTGTTCCTCCAACCCCACAATCAATTGTCTTGAAGTTTATCCTACATACGCTGCATTGCAATCATGACAGTTGGTCTCACAGATAATATTTTGCTGTTCTTCCTTCGGAAATCTATCCTTAATCTTCACTAATGCTGATCTTATGATGTCAATAGCCCGAAAATACACTCCTATATCATGTTTGTTTAGAATCTTCTTCTGATGTTACACTATGGGATGACCATGGTAGACTTCCAATCTTTCGGTACACACTCGAATTTAGTTTTTCTTTCATCTCTGATAATCTTCAAAAACTCTTTGGGTTAATTGTTAGCCTTAAGCGTAGACAAAATTCAATGGAATTCAACCTGTTGGTATTTCTGTAATGAAATTAATATTCCTGTTAATTAGACTTTTTACCGCTGTGACTTTCGTACAATACGCATGAGCCGAACCATAATCTACGTATCCTTCAAAATGTGTTGATTTCCTGAATACATTTATTTTCAACCTATCATAATTATGTCTTTGTTCAATTATACAATCGAGAAACGCTAGTTTGTGGTTATTGCATTCTATTTCCTTTGTCAGATTAATGCTCTCTGAAATGCTGTCCACATTTTCAAACACTTTCTAAACTATTCCGTTTAATGATATTGAAAATATCATCAACATACAGTAACCAGACTTTTGGTAGATTTACACATTTTGTGATTACACCGGTTTCTAGGGAATGCAATTAGAGAAATCAGTGAACCCATTGCTACATCTTATTGTCTGTAAAGTTCTTGAAATGTGAGTAACGTGGATCGTAAACACTATTCCAAACACTTAATAACTTCGGATGGATCTAACGGGCATTGTAAATTAAAATCTGAGTCAGATTCGAAATATTCATAAATAATATCCAATACTCTATTGATAAGTACATTGGTAAATAAGGAAGAAACACCGAAAATGGCATCATTTCATCCTCTTCTATATGGATGGTGTTGATATTATTCTTAAATTCAGTAGTTTTTAATTTCATGATTAACCAATTTGTCATACGATTTAAGAACCCTAGCTAAGTAGATCATTGGATTATATGATGGTGAATTTGTAGGATCAACCGCTGGTTTTAGTGGAGCATTATTCGTGTGAATCTCTGGTAGTCTATATAATCTACAAGGATTACAACTTTTTGGATGTAATATGAACCATAATGACTAAGATTCTGGTAGTTTTAGCCTTAAGTTTGTTAACCGTAGTTCGACCTTAATTATGTTCACTGGCTTTTTTCTCATAGTCTGACTTGTTCATAGTAACAGTCGTGTTCCCTTTATCTGCTCTCGTAATGATAATTGCCTTATTATTTTTTTCAGCTGTTTTAATGCGTATAATTCATTTTTAATTAGATTAGAATTGTGTGGTTTTTGATGTAATAAAGTGGCCGCTATTTTATTCCGCAAATCATTTGCTGTTTCATTAGAAAGGAAATCCAAGCTTTCTGATGATTTATTGTCTACACTTTATTCATAAAATGTACAAGGCATTGTGAGCAGAGCTTGACAGTCCTATATTTATTTATACTAACTGACTTACAAGAATGAGAATTATAGAAGCTTGCAAATATTATTTAGATTAATATGTTTTAAAGTGTTTTGTCAATAGAAAATTGTCGATTTAATGGACAAATGTCTATTGATCAGTTGTTTTTCATTTCTGCCTTTGTCAAGTAAGTTTTCAGGACTACTAGTCGATTCTAATCTATCATATGTGTGTTTATTAAGCATGGAAATAAATGAGCTATAGAATATTGTTATAATAATAATAATAATAAGCCTTCTTAAAATTAGTTATCCCGACCGTTGTTGCTACCTTGACGTGATGGTCGGGCTTGCCTATCGTGATGAAGCAACAGAGCTATACTGACTGGAACAACCGTTCCTCAAGGTCCTACCATGTCAGACAGGTCGGTTGAAGAGCGGTAAGACTAAAGGCAACAAACCCAAGGTCCGAAGGCGAAGTCGTACTGCCGACTGTACAGGTGTGACAGCAGTAAGGTGTTTCCTTCAGACAACCAGCATCTGCAGTGATGCTGCCTTCCCACAAGGAGGGGTGGGGTTAGAAAAGGTCGACCCTAAAAATGCACACTTCGCCTTATCCCACGGATATCCGTCTCCGGTGGTAAGGTCTCAACAAGTAAGGAGCTAACACAAAAATTACCCATAACAAGGTCATGTGTGACCGACCTCAAGCAGTTGTCCCTTAGGCACTGCGATAACGCTCTCAGGTCACTAAGACCACCTCTAATCCAATTTCCTTTTCAGATACCTCCAGAAGAACCCTTCCACGGTGTGGGCAACTGGGAAGTGATAACCGCCCTCATACCTCTAACGGCACTCAAGACCACTGTATTCATAATCAACCTCCTCTTCACTTTCTATTATTCCTCCTACATCGACTTTCAACCCTAAATTTCCTCTTTCGGCTTCCTCCTCAAGTGTCACCATAGCCAACGATTCTAGTGCTCAAAACACTGTCCCAAGTCTACTGAAACCTCGCTCCAAACTACACATTGGAACCTTCAACGTACGCATGTCAAATCGGTCAGCAGGCTTCCTTGCCTAAAACCCTAGAGTCTCTTACCATTGATGTATGCTGTGCCTCCGAAACATGCATACAGGATCCCAGTGTGGTCATTCACTTGACCTCACCTCGGCAAAACGGAGAGCCAACGAGATACACCCTTCATGTATCTGGTGACTCGATGGCCAGCTCTCGTGGACTGGCAGGTGTAGGCATAGCACTAAGCATGAGGGCCGAACAAGCACTGTTAGAGTGGATCCCCGTCAACAGTCGTCTATGTGCTGTTCGGCTAAACGGCTCCGTAAGAACTCGGAAGGATAGGGACACATGTCGTTGCTTTTCTGTCGTTTCTGCCTACGCTCCTACTGATTGCAGCTTGGATGAAGTGAAATATGAATTTTACAGAAAGCTGTCCGAACTTCTTCAGAAAGCTAAACGCTCAGACATAGTACTCGTAGGGGGTGACTTTAATGCTCAGATAGGTAGTTTAAACCAAACAGAAAGGCATTTAGGTGGACATTTTAGTATTCCGACACAGCGAACAGATAATGGTGACCGTTTGCTGCAACTGTGCTCAAACAATCGTTTATGTTTAGCAAACACAAATTTTAAGCATAAAGAGAGACATCGTCTAACATGGTGACCCCCTGTACCAAACGAACGATGAACTCAAATAGACCATATTGCCATCAGTCATCGATAGAAGATTATCGCTCATTCCGGAGTACCTGCTTGGACTCCGACCATGCCCTAATACGGGCACGCATGTGCTTGCGCCTCACTGGACGCAAAACAGCCTCGGTAAAAAGACCCATTAGAACTGAATTGAGTAGCGAGAAAACCAAAAGTAGGTTCCAAGAACAACTGACGTTACACTTAGGTAGTTCTGAAAACGAGGCTGACCCAGATGTTGCTTGGAAAGATATACAATCAGCTGTGGAAACAGCAGTGACATCTATTAGTGACTTAAACCACAGAGTTACAAAGAACCAGTGGATTTCTTCAAGGTCTGTTGCACTGATGGATTCTCGCAAACTCATCCCATCAGGTTCTGAACATGATGAAGAGCGACAACAAATCAGATCTAGGTTAAGAAAAAGTCTAAGGAACGACTGTGAGCAGTGGTGGGTAACGAAAGCAAAAGAGATGGAGAGGGCGGCGACTATAGGGAACACAAGACAGCTTTGCAGACTAATAAAAGAAACTGGAATTAATAAGTCAAGTGTAAGTGACATTATTTCGGAAAAAGACGATACTCTCATCTGCTCCCAGTCCAGGCGTTTAGAACGATGGGCGGAATATTTTAGAGAACAGTTCAACTGGCCTTCAGCTACTCTACAACTACCCTCCATTCCCAGACAATGTGAATGGAACATTGAAGTAGGTCCCCCAAATCTTGCTGAAGTTGAAAAGGCTATAGTTAATCTGAAACGAGGAAGGGCAGCTGGTCCAGATAGATTGGCTCCAGAAGTCTTTTAGGATAGTGGTCCAATTTTAGCGGTTAGGTTGACTAATATTTTAGCTAAGATCTGGGAGTTAGATGTTATTCCATCTGACTGGTCGCAATCACTTATCATCCCAGTATATAACAAAGGATCAAAATCATCTTGTGACAACCACAGAGGGATTAGTTTAACAAACATAGTATCTAAAATACTAGCCTCAATAATAATCAGACGCCTAACTAAGACTCGTGAACTGCAAACACAAGAAAACCAAGCTGGCTTCAGACCTGGTCGTGGCTGCATCGACCACATATTCACCATTCGTCAGGTTCTAGAACACAGGCATACTTATCGACGTCCGACAATGGTGGTCTTTCTTGACTTAAAAGCAGCATTTAACTCTGTAGACCGCGAGATTCTGTGGCAGTGTCTGTCATTGAAAGGCGTATCCCAGAAGTACATCAACCTTGTAAAGGCTCTTTACTCGAACACTACTAATTGAGCCAGAGCTTATGGCGAACTGTCATCTACTTTTGCAACCTCAAGTGGTTACCGTCAAGGCTGTCCACTTTCTCCATTTTTGTTTAACTTTATCATAGACCTATTGATAGAAATAACATTCTCGTCTACTGAATTCTCGGGTATTGATATCCTACCAGGAGGTCCACTTATCGACTTAGAATACGCAGATGACATAGTCCTGCCCCCAAATGCCCTGGTACGGCCGAGAGTGGGGAGAGTCCGCTCTCCCTCTCCAAATGCTCTCACATGGTCACGCGTACATAGCCTCTGCCAGGGAAGTCCTACTCACTGCCTTCTCGTGGCGGAGGTGTTGTTTACGAAAATGAGAGGACGAAAAGCGAATGTCCGGCGCTTTAACCGGACTCCAAACCAATGGTGCACATGGGCTTCAGTATCCTGAGGGAACAAATGGCGTATGAACCAATTGTTGGTCACCGGCTTCCATGGGACTGCATCTCCTTACGATGCTCCACTGCCTTGTGGATCAGACCCTCAGGTCAAAGGCTCCGGGTGTGGCCCCCTAAGAAAACCACCTGTTTCAGTTTGGGCACCCGCGCAGTACCACAGCCCTCACACGTATCGAATGAGAGTTGTGTGGCGCAAATGTATTCGGTGCCTCTTTGTACAAATATCTATGTGTTGAAATAAATAAATAAAATAGTCCTGTATGGTGAAGACGCTGACAAAGTGCAGTCTTCTGGTAGCACTGAGCAACAATGCCAGAATGTTTGTGATACGCTTCTCTCCCTCTAAATGCAAGTTGTTGCTTCAGGACTGGTCTGTGTCAACACCTGAGCTAAGGATAGGGAGTGAAGTAGTCGACCGCGTTGACAATTTCACTTATCTTAGAAGTTTGATCAGCCCTAATGGGTTGGTATCGGACGAAATCTCAGCACGGATTCGAAAAGTTCGTTTGGCTTTTGCCAACTTACGCCACCTATGGCGAAGGTGAGATACCCGTCTATCAATAAAAGGACGAGTATACTGCGCGGCAGTCTGTTCTGTTTTAATTTACGGCAGCGAAACATGGCCATTAAGAGTAGAAGACACTCGTAAGCTACTAGTACTTGACCACATATGTCTCAGAAATATTGCTGGCGTCTGCTGGGATCGCCGGGTAAGTAATAGTGAGGTTAGACGCAGGGTATTAGGGAATGATGGTTATTCAGTTGATTGGGTTGTAAATCTTCATCGACTGAGATGGTTGGAAGAAAGTTAGGGGCGGCCAAACCAAAACGTGGCATCAGTGCTTGAAGTCACTAACTTCTAGTCTGAGCCATGTTGGTAGATGCAGACTACTTGGTTGGAGTCTGCGTGACTTTCGTAACCAATGGTTGGAGACTCTTGGTGACATGGCTCAGAATCGATCACAATGGCGTCGGTGTATATACTCCCTGTCTTCCCTTAAACTAAGAGATTAAAATCACTTCATATCTTTCTTTCTACTAACTAATTCTTTCTCCCTATACTATAGCCTTATTGCAATCTTTCTCCTATACATTACCACCTTTGACCTAACCACTCCTATGAATCCGTTGTTCATCTTGTTGTGCTAATGAGGTATGGCAACCTGGACCGATGCACATATGTGCCTGGTTCTACGTTGTAGCTGACTGAATGATTGACTCTTAAAACTAGTTATACAAGTGGCATGATAATATTTCTATAGTAATCTTGTTAGAAATTAAAATACGAGATTTGAAAACTTCCTAATGAATGTAATAATAATCCAAAAAAACACTGTAACAATTTTGCATACATTAATTATTTGAGCAGCTTGTTCTTGTGTCCCATTCTCTAAATCGATTCCGTTAATTTCTAATATACGGTCATCTTTTTTTATTCTCCCATCAAGATCAGCTTCACAACCAGCAACGAGTTCCAGTACGTATAGTCCCGGTAAATGTCTAATCATGAAGAAAAAGAATACTTATTTTAACATAACAGTAAAACATTTGTTAATGGAGTAGTATATATATTCCAACAAAAACCACAGTGGGTAAAATGAAATTTCCACCCCAATAGTTAGATATAATAATAATAATAATAATAATAATAATAATAATAATAATAATAATAATAATAATGAATATTAGTTACGGGTAAATAATTGCAAAAGAAGGAACTTTAAGGGTGATTCCACGGTAGAATAATATGCACATAAATGTGGTGTATGCTACTTATGTCAGTCGACACATGTAGCATGTAACAACAATCAGAAGTTGAATGCCTGGCAGCAGGAGGTTGAGAAGGTAGAATCGAAGAGAACGGAAATGTAAACAGAGAGTAATTGTAATAGCAATGAAAGAACGATGGAATTCGAAACAATTGTTGGAAGATTTGCAAATGAAGTACTTCATGTATAGTTTTTTCATATTTTACGAAAAAACTCGGTAATTTTGCATCGAATAATAAATTGGTTATCCCCACCAAGTCTTCGTTTTTTACTGTATATACTTTGAGCATTCGGTTAACAGTAATCTTGTGTTCTAGGCTTTCACTTAACTCATTAACTGATGATATATTTTTTATCATTCATGAATTTTGTCCTTATTACTCTGAACTGTGGAAATAATTTAAAATGGTTATTATTCAGCTTGTTTTCGATTCAGTCAGCTGGGCAGTAGCATAATTAATTTTCAGATTAAAAAAAGTATGACCAAAATCCGAGTACGTAAATATGTACTTGGATATTGATTTACATTATAACGTGACGGTAACTAGTAGTAATGTATACAAAATAAATAAACACACCTCATTTGATTATTGAATTTGTTTAAAGTTACAACTGATAGTAAACTAACTTAGTTTTTAGAAATAAAGTACTGAATACCATGCACAAATTCTTAAAGGAAATAAAGATTCAGTCAGCCAACATAAATGTATATCAGTTTCACCTTTCACACCTCAAATAAGCAAGTACATGGAGCAAATTAACAAGAACAGTAAAAAAATGAAATTAACAATATTACCAACAGTGAATTAATGAACTAAATATAATACAGCTTATGTGCAATAAGTGAGATTGAGAATCAAGAATATTACCCACTTCAAGAGTTAGAGATAGATATAAAGTAGGAATGCAACTGGCCGACACTATGTTACATTCTAAGCCATGTAACCTAGTCAGTCGATCAGTCATGTGCAACGTAGAACCTAGCACAGTGTGTCGGTTCTATTTGTTATACCATATTATTACGGTAACATAAAACTATCAAGACAAATCCAGGAGTAGTAGCAGTAGTAGTAGAAAAGAGTAGGTATAAGGGGATTTTAGGACTTACTTACTAAGGGGGAGGGGCAACCGATGACTGCATCGGAGCCAATGTGAACGATTCTAAGACATGTCACCCGAAGTCTCTAGCGATGCCACTAAGGGTTTTATTTATCTATAAATTACAAATATCTCGTTGACCATTACAAGATACAGTTTATTACAGTAGTCGAAAACTTGACGATTTGGTTATGTATATAACCTAGGATACTCTTTTGTCTCTTTCCAATCCGCTTGCAGAGCAGCTGGCATCGCAAGTCAGTTGGGGAAAACAAAGCATATTCTCAATGCTTAGTCTTTTTCATAATCATTGCTAAAACATTATTTCAATCCTTTTTTGTTATTATCATGTCAATTTTATCCTGTCATGCAAAAGTGGTGATAAGGCAACTTGGATTAATGCATGTTTGTGATCGGATCTACGTTGGTGATGACTGACCAAATTAAAAAAGAACGATACGTAGGTAACAATCACTTGGACTAACTAATCATAACACTAATTTGAAAAATTGGCATCAACAATGTAAACACTTATGATGTATTTAATCAAGGATAAACAAAAAAACGTAGTTATTCGATTGTTACTGTTATGGATGTTACAAGATATATACAAATTTGTGAAGAAGACACACTTAGGACAATGAAATTAAAACAAATCAAAGCATATACGTTAAAATAGTTGGAAAACTTATTGTGACGCCGTTAAATCATATCAGGCATTGAAATGGGTTAATAAATTACAAAACTACATGTTTAAGAATTAATTCATATGTGCACATCGTTTTTTTTTCAAAGAATTTCGATAACGTATAATAAATAATCAAATTTACCGATAGAATTTAGCTACAATATCAAAGCAAACCATCAATATGAAAGGTTTTCTGGCGTTACATTAAAACCTACATTTAAATAGGTAGTAATTTCCAAAGTAGCTAATTTATTAGTATTAATAAAGACCAAAGAAAAAAACAATTAACAAAGTACGCTTTCTCTCTTAATGAGTGAAATAAAATGATGGTAGAGTACAACAGTCAATATCATGTATCTGGCTGACAGAATACGCAAAGCATTATTGTTCAACACAGATATGAGGTTATTCATTTGTTTGGACTGTGGGTAACAGAGGAATTCAAGACGTAAGTTTCACTCTATTTGGGACTTTTAAGATGGATGTGCTTCCGTCTTTGTGTTAATGTTAACACACTGGAATTTAAAGTCAGTACCTATCACTTAAAACGTCAATGCGCTTAATAACTCCCACTGTTAGCCACAATATAAATTTACTATAACCTAATGACTAACTTACAATATCGAAGCAATCTTCGCCGAATGAATGTATTTCAACAGAGATTGATTAATAATAGTCCTAAATATAAACTATGAGAAAATATAGACTTTTACTAAGACACAAATTACATTCAAATAGAATCAAGAATATATCAATTGATCAATCAACTTGAACTAAATAATATAAAACGTTATTACGATTTGAGAGAGAAAATCCGTGTAATACAAGATTATGATGGCAATTTTTAGTAAACAACTATATTGTTAAGTTAAACAGTAGTTTGCATTTAAATCCAAGTAATCTGTGCTATTAACGTTAATTGAAATTAACATTTAAAACTACCGATTCTAAAAGTGCGTTTTTTTTAAATGAAATTAATTTACACTACTTCCATCCAAGGAGAATACAATAACAATATTATAATTTAAATGGAAAATTTATGATTTTTAATATTTTTAATAGTTGAATCGAAATATTTAAGTCACTGAAACATAAGAATTGGAATTCTTGTATTTACATTAAAAGAGTTAATTTCCAGGTACAAAATGAATCGAAATTTCAAATCAACAACGAATTTTACACATGAAATGTAGTTAGTTGATTTGTATGAAGATGCATTCGATCGGAAAATAATTTTTACCATACGCTGTCATAGGGCGGATAAACAGAGGAGATCGAGACCATGTAACCTTTTCATTCAAGCCTCTGACTCATCAGTAGAGATATTCTATGGTATGATATTCTATGATATTCTATGGCCCCCTAAGACAACCACCTGCTTCGGTTTGGGCACCCGGGCAGTATCACAGCCCACATACAAACGATGAACCCTATGACTATGGCAACGAATTTTCTCGCTCCGATATATAATCAATCGATTCCAATAATTATTACTATTATTGTCATTATTATTATTATTATTATTATTATTATTATTATTATTATTATTATTATTATTATTATTATTATTAGTACCATTATTGTCATTATTGTTATTATTATTATTATTATTTTCCACATTGTTCTCCCTCTTTTATACTTATACAGCGGCTCGTCTTTGGTGGAAATTCGACTGTATCTAAACGTTCTCGAGTTACTGTCCGGTTGAAAATTGTATGTTACCACCGACTACGAGAACTGAAGCAGTTTTTCTGAAACCACGTGCACCATTCAAACTGGCTGCCTTCAACGTTCGCACGCTAGTGCAGGTCGGACAACAGATAGGGCTGGCTATGTCTTTGGAAAGTCTTAATATTGATGTTTGTTGTCTATCCGAGACCCGTATTCAAGACTCTGGCAAAGTACTACAAATTCGATCTCCATCTGTCGCTTCGAAAAGCTTGTTTCACGTGCGCTTATCCGGGGACCCTGTGGCATCTTCGTTTGGTCTTGCTGGCGTTGGTGTCGCACTAAGCGCTAGAGCTGAGGCAGCACTAGTTGACTGGATCCCCATTAACAGTCGGTTATGTGCTGTTAGATTAGAAAGTTCCATCAAAGTGAGAAGAAATCGGCGTGAGAAACGATGTCTTTTCGTCATCTCCGCCTATGCCCCGACAGATTGCAGCCCGGATGCAATCAAGGATGAGTTTTACCACCAGCTGTCTGTTCTTCTCCAGAGAGTGCGCTCGACAGATATTGTAGTACTAGCCGGAGACTTGAATGCGCAGGTCGGGCGTCTAGGCACAGAAGAGAGTCGTTTAGGTGGCCGATGGGGACTCGTTGGTCGCAGGTCAGATAACGGGGACCGTCTACTGCAACTGTGCACAGACCACAACCTGTTTCTGGCTCGCACTAACTTTCGGCACAGTCATCGCCGATGTGCCACCTGGCGTCCTCCCTCTGCATCCCAAGCCTGGACTCAGATTGATCACATCGCGATCAGCTACCGCTGGCGTGGTTGTGTAAAAGACTGCCGCTCCTTTTGGAGTACCTATCTGGACTCTGACCATGCCTTGGTCTGCGCCAATCTTGCCTTACTTTTCAGTGGACAACGAAGTGACCGCCACCAACGGATTGATGTTAGCAAGCTGGTTGCAACTTCTGTTGCAAATAAGTATCGAACCGAGTTAGCCTCTAGGCTAGCTACCACTCCACCGAAAAGTATAGATGAGCATTGGTTGCAATTGCTTGACGCCATGAAAATGGCGGGAACAGTCAGTTGTGGGTTTGCGAAACGTCCCGCTTTTAAGCACTGGGTTTCTTCTGGTTCCTTACAACTCATTGAAGCCCGTCGGTCTACTCCGGGTGACCGTGAGTTTGACCATAAACGAAGGATGTTACGTAGGGAAATTGGGCAAAGCTTGCGTAAGGACCGAGAAGCCTGGTGGTCGGAGCGTGCTAATGAGCTGGAAGCAGCAGCTGCATCTGGTAACTACCGGAAGCTCTTCCAGCTCATCCGAGCCACTGGCAGCAAGAAGTCTGGTGTGAGTGAAACAATCTGCGAGGATGATGGGATGCCAATCACTAACATCCATCGACGTCTTGGACGATGGGCAGAATTTTTCGAAGGGCAGTTCAACTGGCCTGCTGCTCCGGCAACATCGGTCAGGCTGTCCTGCCCTCCATGGCCGGTGACGACTGATCCACCAAACGAGGAGGAAGTCCGCAAGGAACTCCAACTCTTGAAGCGTTACAAATCACCTGGCCCAGATGACCTACCTCCGGCTCTTTTTAAAGATGGTGGTGACTTTTTGACTAAGGAATTGACGACGTTGTTTACAAAGGTTTGGGAACTAGAGTGTGTACCAACGTCATGGAATGAGTCGATAGTTGTCCCTATCTTTAAAAAGGGTTCACGTCGTTCCTGTAACAACTATCGGGGGATAAGTCTACTTCCGATTGCGTCCAAGCTATTGGCTTCCGTCATACTTCGTAGGTTGTTCAAAACTCGGGAAAGATTGACTCGCGAGGAGCAGGCTGGGTTTCGTTCTGGTCGAGGATGTATTGATCATATCTTCACCCTCCGCCAAATGTTAGAACATCGCCATACTTATCAAAGGCCAACAATCGTAGTGTTTCTTGACATCAGGGCTGCCTTCGATTCGTTGGACAGGACTGTTCTCTGGGATTGTCTATTGAAGAAGGGTGTGCCTGAGAAGTTTATTAACATCCTAAAAGCCCTATATACAAACACCTCAGGCAGAGTGAGGGCATACAACCACCTCTCTCCATTGTTCTATACGAGTAGTGGGGTTAGGCAGGGTTGCCCAATCTCACCATTCCTCTTCAACTTTGCCATCGATGACATTCTGGAAACAGCTCTGATGAATGTAAGTAATGGTGGTGTGGATCTGTTACCTGGAGAAAGACTTCTCGACCTTGAGTATGCGGATGATATTGTCTTACTGTGCGATAATGCCCAAGGCATGCAATCCGCACTTAATCAGTTGGCAATCAGTGTCCGTAGGTATGGTATGTGTTTTGCACCTTCGAAGTGCAAAGTACTTCTACAAGACTGGCAGGATTCCAATCCTGTACTCACCCTGGATGGTGAGCAGATAGACGTAGTCGAGAAGTTCGTGTATCTGGGTAGTTGCATAAGTGCTGGTGGGGGTGTGAGTGATGAGATCAATGCACGTATAGTGAAAGCCAGAGTGGCTTATGCCAATCTGGGCCATCTTTGGCGCCTTCGTGATGTTAGTCTGGCTGTAAAAGGTCGGATCTACAACGCGTCGGTGAGAGCAGTTTTGCTCTATGGTTGTGAAACCTGGCCTCTCCGAGTTGAGGACGTTAGACGACTCTCTGTGTTCGATCATCGCTGTCTCCGAAGGATTGCTGATATTCAGTGGCAACACCATGTCAGTAATGCAGAGGTTCGGCATCATGTGTTTGGGCACAGAGATGATAATTCAATTGGTGTCACCATCTTGAAACACCGACTTCGGTGGCTTGGACATGTTCTACGAATGTCGTCCCAGAGAATTCCACGTCGTGCATTATTTGCCGACTCTGGGACTGGTTGGAAAAAGCGGAGAGGTGGTCAGTGCATGACATGGTGTCGTGGTATGAAAGAAAGCTGCAAAGGACTGGCTTGTGTTGGTCCTTCACGACTCCCTGGTTGGGGTCTGAGAGATAGTGCTACACAGTGGCTAGAGACGTTATCAGATATGGCTCAGAATAGAAGCCAGTGGCGATCCTGCTGTAACCTTCTTTTACTTTCTTCATAAAAAGTGGTTGTGTCTCCCTTACTTGAAAGATTTCTTCTGATTGTACTTTTCCGTTCCACTGTTACGACCACACTAAATTACACCAATCTCTTCGTTATCGTTCTCTTTTGTGCTCCTTGGTTTTTTTTTTTCTATCTCTTCGAAGTTACATTGTTTTGTGTGGCGCATATATATTGGCGCTCTCTTGTACCAATATTTATGTGTTAAAATAAAATAAATAAATAAATAAATATATGATAAGATGAAACATGAGACGTTCAGATCTGGTAGAAAGCATTAAACCATTGGAAAACGAAGCCAGGATCCAATGGTTCACATATTTCAACATTAATCAATACTGTTATCAGCATCCCATTCCATATTTAAAATTAATTAGGGTTAGATATATCGACTACACTTGAGCTAATTAGAAAGACTATGGAGTTTTTCTTGTCTCTATTTTGATACTAGTTAAACGATACGTGGGGCATGGAAAGTGTGGAAATGACAAATGAACAGTCTCTGACAAACTAAATTTCCATAAAAAATCTTCCGCGAAATTTATCTTGCATGAGTAATTATCAAACGAATGGTGAAATATACAAACATTTTCTTGTCCACCTCTTTTTACTGCTACGAATATCATATAATACGAAAAAATGTCAATCATGGGATGCTCCAAACACACACTATCTCCCTAATCAATAATTTGACAAGTTGCACGGATTTCTTGATATTACAAGCTCCAAACAATGTATTGTACTGTGTAACCAAAAAGCATTCTTAAATAACCATTGTATCGAATATATGTATATTTAATATGAATCACTCACTTTTTTCCGACAAGTTTAATTCCGAGAACTTTCCCTTGACGTTTGCATAATTTAACGTAAAATATTTCTTTTTATCGAGACGCATATAGTATATAGTGAACAAAGAAAAATATACAATACAAAGTTACATAGTGTATGTTCTAAGTTAGTATTGTAAGGATAACAGAGGAAGTTATATATATATATATATATATATATATATATATATATATATATATATATATATATATATATATATATATATATATATATGGGAATTTTCATATGAATAAGTGTTTTGCTTTCTGTGGACAAAAAACAACATACCAATGATCATTAACTAACAAGAGAAATAAAGTGAAAACATGAAATGAAACAGTACTAGTGTCGTTACTAATATTATTATTATTACTATTGATACATAGAACAAACGAAACTTGAAAAACAGTTGCTGTATTGTAATACATGTATGCACGTTGTTAAATATGAATAGACACAGCATATACATATATATATATATATATATATATATATATATATATATATATATATATATATATATATATATATACATATATATGCGGTTGGCGACAATTATTAAGAAAATCTGGATATAAGGTTTAGTTGGCACATGCCAACCAATACGTTTCCCAGTTCTGTGGTCAGCTGGTAATTCCCATGGAAGCAATAATAGTAGAATGAAACTCAGTAATAAAGTACACGTTTGGGTATTAAGCATGAGCCAAATCTACCGTGCACGAGAAAGTAATGACAATTATTGATTAGTTCAGTAGGTGGAGTAGCTTATGAAGTCATGTTTAAAATGACTGAAATATATGAGATGTTGAGTGAACATTGCCGATGAGCAAACACTTCTGACTTTAAAATAGAACACTAAAAGAAAATATACAAATAAAATAGTAACAATAATAATTCAAAAATTATCACCTTGGTGATATTGAGGTTGTGATTGATGTTGTGCATTCAAAGAAACTGGTTCACGGAAAACAGTGAATTGAACTACTGATGATGGAATAGTCAAAATGGTCTGTGCTTCAGCATGAGTAACATGTGTCAGTAAGTTGCCGTTCGCCTATTATTCAGTGGTATAAAAGAATAGTGATTTTGAAAAGAAAAACAAAAAAAAACAAAATCACACTGTAGAGAGAAGTGTAATATGATGGAAATAATTACAACTGACGAACGCTGGAGTAATTAATTGATTGAAGCAGACCCACAGGCGAGTTTGCTCATAATCATTCTCTAATCTTTGGATGACTGGATATTAGAAGGCAAGATTAAGTATATTATCACTTGTACATGAATCTTTGCAGTATTTTCTTTAGACACAATTATCCTTATAATCGACCAACTCGACTAAATTGACGATTTATTATGAAGTCTGTAACAGACTGAAGAGCTAGACTCGTCCAGGAAAATTGGAACTGAGATATCGAGTCTGAGACCGGTGGTTTTAACACTAGTTGGCTAATATGATTATAGGGTAAACTACAACCACCATTATGCATTCACAAGTCTTTTTATCAGAAACATTAAGTTTAATGTTTAAGAGCTTAGAAAACAAAGTCACCAAACAAAACTTCTCAAGTTTTTTATTTAGGTATGATACCTCCAGGCTGATAGTGTGGTAAGAGCTTATTATTAAAATCTGTCACATTTCTACCAACAGTAAGTAGATGCACATAATAAACATACGTATGGCTTTCCATCGACCGATCACTAAATGTTTCTAAAGACTCTAAAAAAATATAGTTTTTTATATGGCCTGGACGTTAAATATTGATATCATGTATTACACTAAAAACTCTGAAGATATGTCCCCAACTGGTTTGAGAATAACAAGTGGAAAGGATTGTCCAGGACAGAGTTGGGTGGATAATGCTAATAGGCGGTCTATGCTCCTCCACGAGGGGTAACAGGTAAAAGTAAGAACGTAAGTTGAGTCCCATTAATATCACTTATTGTGGGTAATCACGAAAAGCGAGGTTACAGACAATAATAAACTATAAACCATTTTATAAAATCATGATATATTCATTTGTCTACATATTTCTTAAATGAAACATGAAATTCTGTGGAAAACTTAGTAACTTAAATAGACTCCTGATAGAAATTCTAAGAAAATTCTCCAACAATATGTAACAAAAGATTAGTTAGAAGGAACTTCAATGATTACATTTATTCTATAATTACTAATCTAAGCAAAAAGGGAAATAGCCCATTCTGTGTTTACCTCTAACAACTGATCGCCTGGTCTAAGACGTCCATCTGTTGCAACGGGTCCATCCAAATAGATTTCCTGAATTAGTATGCATGCCTAAGAAAACAAAAAGATGATCATGTTTATATCTGCACATGAGCACTGGGGAAACTGATATAAACTTAAATATTAAAGACTCATTTGATAATTAAGTTGAGAACTTGTAATCTATGGAGTCACATATAGCATTCACCAATTTAAGTCACTTGTATCACAAAGCCAGATATTTATTAGGTTATCAAGTGCTGAACGCATTCATTACTAGTCTGCTGTGCATTATTTTACAGATGTGATATATGGCTTCTGAAATGTACAGTTCGTTAAGACTTGTCATATGTACCTTTAAATGGAGTCACTACCTGAACAGTATTGATTAAACTTAGAGTACCAAGTAAAAATGATGATTTAGTTTGTGAGAATGTAAATATTATTTAGTTGGAATACATTTTATGCATAAAAGACTATTCTCTGCCTTGATGCCCCATCTAAGATAACAAATCAGTAGGTTGGAAGGATGTTATGAGTTGGTAAATCAAGACATAATTTTATTCAAAACAAGTTTTCTATTTAGGGTTAGGAAAATAATCGTAGTCAACAGTTAGATATTTTGGATGATACGGTTTAAAACCTGTTAGGCTGGTGACGACAAATTCCTTTCTTTACATATCGTTACAATTTGATCTTAGTTGTATTTCAAATTTTTAATTTATGCCGTTTGAAATGTATTAACCGTATTTAGTTTTCTGTCACTATTATTATTTTTCTAACTTCATTCTTGATCCTTTCATTAGTTTCCCTCTCCCTATACTAATATAATGTGTGGCAATTCGAATAGATATATATTTATTTTAATTTTCGCATTATTCTGTATTTTCATCGTGCTTGATGTATGAGGTAAAACGAGATCAAATATAAGTCTCCATTCACTGATGTCTTCAAATGATGGCTGCACTAAATCTAAAATTAATCCAAATCAAGAACTGTGAATTATCATAATTTTTCCGTTCGACATCCCGTAAATTCAAGGATGAATATTTTACAGGATTTTCAAAGCATCTGATCAAATCTATCACAAAAAAGAGGATACAATAGACATCTGTACAGTGTAAAGACAAAAATAGTTATCACTTACAAGAGGTGTATCAATACCTCCAACAAATGTGAAACCTAAATCCATACAGTCGTTTGGACGATAAATTAAAATCGAGACAGGAACACCTTCATATACAGTTGGTGAATCAGCTGAAAGATAAAGTAATGTATTTAAATGATTAAAACTAATAACAAAAAGAACTTTAGAAAATGATCGTAGGTTATTTCATACATCATCAAGAATAAGAGAAATGACTAGGCTTGTCATAAAATAAAATATCACCTTCAAGAGCTTAGTCACACTGAGAACATAGACAATATCAGTAACCATTCCCATTCAGTAAAGTCGGATAATAAAAACATAAAACTATGAGTACCATCTACCGGTGAGAATAAGAGTGAACTAGTGTTACTTCTATAGTTTTCCAGTTCTCTAGTATTTCGGGTAAAAATTAAACCTTATGGGTAGGGTCATGACTTCATTGTGATATCAGTGAAATATAACATCGGTACTGTTCAATCGTTCATGCCTCAATCGACTTTTAATAACGTTTATTCATGTGCCCAATAACTTGGACATTATTTTATTTGTAAGAAAATCCGATTATTCTGGTGATTCAGTCTTTGATATCAGTTTGAACCGACAATCTAGTTTCGTGAGCAGTCATCATTAGAGCACATCACTGGATTCATTAATCATAACGCATAATATCCCCACAATAAAATTTATACCACGTATAATAATGCACCAATAAGACCGTTTAGACTGTTTTTTTAAACTGGAAATATTAATAGTGTAGGATTATGATATAATAAAGGACATTTTGAAGCATTTTAAATATCAACTATTTATATCCAAGAAATAACTGTTTACAAGTTCATGTAAAAATGACTTGTCAGTGAGTTTTATTTATTTATTTAAACATATAAACATTGGTACAAGGAGGCACCAAATACATGTGCGCCACACAGATCTCACATGATATGTGTGAGAGCTGTGATACTGTCTGCGTGCCAAAACCGAAGTAAATGGTTTTCTTAGGGGGCCACACCTGGAGACTTCGACTTGAAGGTCTGATCCACAAGGCAGTGGAGCATCGTAAGGAGATGCAGTCCCATGGTAGCCGGTGACCAACGATTGGTTCATACGCCATTTGTTCCTTCAGGATAATGGGGCCCATGTGCACCATTGGTTTGGAATCAGGGTTTTCCAACTCCCCTAGGTGGAGTGTCCATGTCCACCAACCCGGTTAAAGCGCCGGACATTCGCTTTTCGTCCTCTCAATTTCGTAAACAACACCTCCGCCACGAGAAGGCAGTGAGTAGGAGTTCCCTGGTAGTGGTTGTATACACGTGGCCATGTGAGAGCATTTCGAGATGGAGAGCGGACTCTCCCCACTCTCGACCGTACTAGGGCATTTGGAAGCTATGAACTAGGAGATAATTATTGATAAAACTAGATTATTGTTTGATTGATACTTTCTAACGACCCGTTCTCACATTCATCACGTAATTCGATTAATATGACGCATACCACCTTAATTCAAATGTCTAGCAAGTATTGTTGTTTACATTTTCAACAAGTAATTTATCTCAGATATATAGAGCTAGTACTGAGTTTGAACATCCAAAAATAAATTCATTCAGTTTTTAACTGAGCTATTAATAAATTAAATCATGGAGTTTGATTTCCTGCTTGGTAATTCATGATAACAATAGAAAGAATCATAACAATTAATACTTTAGGGGATGAACATTGTAATGCCCTTTTCAAAAACTGAACATTTTAAGCTAACGTACAGAAATCGTCAACACATGGTAGACTTGAATCGTAGTTTGTTTTATTCAGTTTATCCATTTCTATTCGGGTAACTGATGGATAAATATTAGGAAATTCTTTTATATATTGATTCGGATAAACAAAACTAAAATTGGATTCATTATTTGAATTATGGTAGTTTATATTTTGTTGTTCCTGTGCTAAAAGATTATTTTTCATAAAATCTTGTGGATCGATTATCCTGAGACATCTTGTTGAATCAGATACTATTGGTTGTAACATATTCGAATCATGTGATTCAGTTCCAATGAAAGTGGATAAGAAGACATTTTTGAATTGATTATGTTGTTGCATTATACGAGGGGCTGATTTTATTGCACTAGATGAATGTACACCGACACACCATTCACGTAAATGTTCTTCAAGATTTGACCGATAAACTATACTATCACAGGTAGGTGAATTGGGACAAGCAACTAATAGCTTGTCTAATAATCTACAAGGAAGAAAAATACAATGTAATTACCAATTTAGAATAAATTTGTACAGACCAACTTAGTGAAAGCGCTGAAAACTCGTTTTTTGTTCTCCCAATTTCGTAAACAACACCGCGAGAAGGCAGTGAACAAAACTTCCCTAGCATTGGCTATATATGAGTGGATATGTGAGAGCATTTAGAGGGAGAGCGGAGACTCCCCACCCTCAGTCGTACCAAGCCATTTGGGAGCATGTCTATTGGAAACACTAGTAAAAGTCATTATTCGGAAAAATTAAATTCCAAAAGACGAATGTAATATTCCATATATCTTTTAATCCTTTTAAATTCTGTTAGTAAATATCACTCGTTTCTCAACTTCATTTTAAAAAATGAACGTCTAATAGCATATGTAAACGACATGGAAAAAAAATTCGACATCCTACTCAAACTTAACTAAATGGCCATCCTAATATTCAGTGGATTTTTAAATGTTACTTAGTTAACGTAAAACAATTATTGTTAATAGCCAATACATCTGCCACAAGATTACAGCACAATAAGTTCACTGTAATCACTAATACAGTTTAACATTAAGATTTTACTTTTTTTAATTCTAAACAATAATCTTTCAAGAAAGCATACTGATAATAATTGATTTCAATGTATAAAATAATAATGAAATAAAAATATGAACAAATCAAATAGCTACTAACCGTTTCACAATATTAGAAGCTTGTTGACACTGTAAATAATTGATAATTTGCTTGTCCACAGGACAAAGTGCTTGAACAGCTAGATGATTTTTTAAGCAAGGAGAACAAAATGTGTGACCACACTTGGTATCTAATGGATCAACTAAGGGTTGTTGACATAGCTGAAATGTACAAAGATGTAAAGAAATTACTTGGGTTAGTAATTCTATTGAATGTTAAATACCATACACTAAACAAGTACTTTGGAACAATAAATAAATTAATTAAAAATGTGCTACTCACAGACAGAAAGAAACAATTTTACACGGAAACGAAACAAAATGCAGAGATCTCTTTTTTAAGACTAATAGACTAAATAAAGTGTAGCACATTAGATTGTGAATCGGGCTTAATTTAGTCCAGCCGACTGAATATTCGGAAATAAGACACCTAAAGTTCAATCTGTGTTTCAGTAGTTAGGAGGCAAGTAAACGTAGATCACTGAAATATAACTGTTGGATTGGGTAAATACTCTTATCACTCGATATTGTGAGCAATCGACGAAGACAATCTATAACAGAAGGACGTTTAAATAGTGGTAAGAAAGAAGGGCATATAACGTGAAACATCAGGGAAAAAGCATTCAAACTTATACATAATAAATTACTAAATATGAAGTTTTACATGCTATTTTTGAGTGCCTGACGATTCCCTAAAGAGGCCTAAATAACTTTCAGAAACTATTTATTACTAGCTGTTCTATGCCCACCAAATGCCGTGGTACGGCCGAGAGTGAGCAGAGTCAGCTTCCTCTCGAAATGCTCTCACATGGCCACGTTGTCCGCGTGACTATCGTAACCAATGGTTGGAGACTCTTGGTGACATGGCTCAGAATCGATCACAATGGCGTCAGTATATACACTCCCTGTCTTCTCTTAAACTAAGAGATTAAAATCACTTCATATCTTTCTTTCTACTAACTAATTCTTTCTTCCTTTACTATATCCTTATTGCAATCTTTCTCCTATATATTACCACCTTTGACCTAACCACTCCTATGAATCCGTTGTTCATCTTGTTGTGCTAATGAGGTATGCCAACCTGGACCGATGCACATATGTGCCTGGTCCTACGTTGTAGCTGACTGACTGACTGAAATGGCCACTACCACTACCAGGGAACTCCTACTCACTGCCTTCTCGTGGCGGAGGTGTTGTTTACGAAATTGAGAGGACGAAAAGCGAATGTCCGGCGCTTTAACCGGGTTGGTGGACATGGACACTCCACCTAGGGGAGTTGGAAAACCCTGATTCCAAACCAATGGTGCACATGGGCCCCATTATCCTGAAGGAACAAATGGCGTATGAACCAATCGTTGGTCACCGGCTACCATGGGACTGCATCTCCTTACGATGCTCCACTGCCTTGTGGATCAGACCTTCAAGTCGAAGTCTCCAGGTGTGGCCCCCTAAGAAAACCATTTACTTCGGTTTTGGCACGCAGACAGTATCACAGCTCTCACACATATCATGTGAGATCTGTGTGGCGCACATGTATTTGGTGCCTCCTTGTACCAATGTTTATATGTTTAAATAAATAACAAATAATAAAGCTATTATATTCTATAGCAAACCAGCAAATCATCTTGATGTTCCTCTAGGAGGTACGAATGAGGAACTGATAAACCGGTGTAAAACCATAACTGTTCAGACTTTAAGATGTCCAGAATGGAAACAGAATATAGTACTTCTAACACCATAACTCCCCAAAAAAGCCAGATGTAAGTAACCTGAGTTGGGAGATTTCCATGAGGCTCAGATTAAGAAAAAAACTATAAATTCTTATAGTTCATTTGGTTAGAAAAAAAATCCTGTTTAGTATTACCTACGACCAGCAAAGTCAGTCAGAAAAGAGACTGAGTTAATAAATGAGTACAAATTTCAAAGTACAAGTTACGCAGATCAAGATTTTCAACATAAAATTACGAGATTTACATACCGTTTAACTTCAGTGTCATCGAATACTTGAAATGACTTATTAAGTGGCCAAATAGGCTGTTTCTGGATTTTATCTAAACACCTAATTAAAAGGATGATGGAGATTGATACCAACTAGTTTTTCGAACCTAGATGAGCTGAATAAGATTTAAATCTACGACCCATTAGTTGAAATTCACGTGTCAAAGTTAATGAACATGCAACCACTATGAAATGCAATGACGACAGTGAATATTGAAATGAGGTCCATAGATCTGTGGATACCTCATAAAATTAACTGAATAGTAACACAACACATGAATTTAAAACTCACAGTACAGCATAGATCAGCATCCACCGTTTGTGTGTAATTATAAATATGAGGCGACATGGAATCATGTGTTTGACCGCATGTACGACACAAATACTTTTTTACTACCAAGTTTTTGGGATTACTAGATGACACCTCGTTTTGGTTATGAGCAGTAGTACTAGTAGGGTAGCTTGGACGAATATCTTCTCTATTAATCAACTTAGGTGACATAGATGATATTACTGAAGGTTGAACAAAATGAGATTTACTGCATGGACCGATTTTTGGATGAAGTTCCGTGAAAGCTGATCCAGGAGAAGGAAAAGAAGAAGGTGTAGATGTAATTGGAGCAAATTGCAAAGGGTAATTAGGGATACCAGATGTAATGTTTTCTGAATAGGAATAAGGCAAACTTGGTGGCTCAAAAGATGGAGGGTTAGAGAATGGGTTTAAGATAGAGGCATCGCAAGCTGCTTTAGCAAATTTAGGGGTTGAAGATTCACATGAATTAATGGTGGTTGTGTTTTGTAACGTCGAGCTGATGGTATTTTCCTGAAAAACAAGCAAACATAGACAAACCCAATAATAAAATACAATAGGATGTGAGACACTGAAAAACAGGTGTTATTCAACTGTAATATCTAGGTTCTGGGACTACAGCACTATGCACGATTAGTGATAAGCGCGTTTTATGTGGCCCATCAGCGCTATAGAACAGTTCTAGACTAATAATTTAATCATTCACTGCTGAAACACAAGACCAAAGTCAAGAAACGAAATGATTACAAGACAATGTAATTCAAGGCCATGTCATATTTCAGTTTGATATATTTGTTTCCTCCCTACTTTACAGTTCAGTGCTACACAATCATGTAAACGCCTCTGACCATAAGCTACTACAACTTATTTACACATATTTATTTTAAAAAACTGACCATTTTACAGATTCCTTTTCTAGAAGTTGATGTTAAATTGTCATAAGTTGGGAGTTGAGTTGTAATAATATGTTCGGGAGGTTCCGGTAATAATGGGGAACCCTTAGTAACAGGAAGGTCAAGACCGGGACTACTGGCAACCGTCGTATTTGTTTCACTATCTCCGCCCACACTGCCTGTGCTGTCATCGCAACAACTTCCCGTCTGCATAGCACAAGTGGAGGTTCGATGAAACTGGCCTGGGTCGACGGACAGATATTAAACACCAAAACCAGACCATAAGACAATCATAAGCAAAATGAATAGTGAAACAACGACTTTTCAGGATTGTACATTATCTTTCTTCGAGAAAATTAGGAATCACAAACCTTTTTGAAACAGATCTAAAATTCAAAAAATAGAAAGCGTCAATAAAAAAGTGTATACATGTGTTAGTTAAGACATCTAAGTTTATCCAAAAATTATTGCTTCACATATTCAGAACATATGAACTTTTAACCAATGTACTTACTAACTTACTTACGCCTGTTACTCCTCGTGAAGGAGCATAGGCCGCTCATTTAACCAATGCAGTATTCATGAAGTGGGCTGATTAAAAGTTAAAGTTATTGAAGAAGTATTTCCATGGATATTTAACTTTGTCTTATCAAATCATACTTGAGAACAAGAATTAAGTTGTTTTCCACTGGATTTCAAAAACAAACCAGAAAACATAGAAAGATGCGTTTTACCGAAGCTCGGAAATAAAGCAGATGTCGACAGACTTAGAAGAGCTGACTCGGAGAACTAATGATTGGAACCATTAATATGTCGTTTTTAGTCAATAAATAACTACCATAAATTCACATCAAAGGATTTAAATTATAACTGGCTAAAGAGTAAAAGAGTCAACGGTAGTAAGAACAAGTAGGTCATGAGCAGAGGAAAACAGATAAATAAGCAAAATTTTCGTAGACTAAATGTAGATAAATAAATTTACTTACCGCCTCAACTTTAAGAACACTAACCAAGAAGCAAACATATCACTAACCGACAGATACTACCAGTTAGCAACCTTCCGGATTGGTACTTTACTTTTAACTTTGGAACTTTTTAACCAGGGAATTCATTATGCTAGTCTTTACCTCGTTATATGTTGGACACGTCGCGGAAACTTTCAGGATAGCAACGATCGAGTTCAAGTAATGCTTTTGTGTTAACCGTCAGTATCTAAGTACCACAACCACTACGGAGAACCTATGCTTCAAGATAATTATTATTTGACGAGCAGTTAGACAATTGCAGTGCTACATACGGCGGAAACCGTCTATTTTGAGACTACATTAACAACTGGCTAGTCAGGATTGATGTATTCAAATTAAGTTTTAATAATGATTGTCTTAGTGGTAGTAGTAACTGTCTTGAATGCTGCTTGTAGGATTAACAATCCAGATAAGCTGATTTTTTTAAGTTCATCTCTTAGATTTTAACGATCCAAAAATCTGAAGATAATTTTCATCCAAAATTTGAAACCTGATCATTCTTCACGTCATTCCAAAACATTTCCACAGAAAATATCACTAAGTACTTATTTTATGTTACAAAACTGTCAAAAAAATCTAGTAATATATATCTGTTTAAAATTAGTATATATTGTGACGCACGAATCAAACTCAAGCTGAGTATTATATATAATATGCGAAACTTGATGTACATAAGGTCGTTGGCACAACGTTGAAAATTATTATTTAGCAAGTTTCATTGATTACAATCACTGAAATCACTATGTAAGCAAATGTGACGAAGTTCCCTAGGGTTTGGATTAAACCCGATTAAAACAGATTGGATATGTATTCGGCATTTAGAGTAGATTCTTAGAAACAATAAAGATAAACACCAAGTTATGCCCACGTAATATTCGTTGAAATGGCCATTTTACACCCGCTGTGAAAGTACGTCTTCTAAAGTTTTGTTTTCCAACACAAATATCATAGTGTCTTTGAAAAAAATCTAAGAATGTAAAAACATACGGAATTCATTAATTTCTAGAAACTACGGACACTACCGTTGTAGTTTTCAAGTACACTGAAAACCAAACAGCGTAGCAAATCTGTCAAAATTACCGCCAAACTAACAACAAAATCTAGCACTAACTGGACAAATAGTTGTAGACGGAATAGAAGAAACGCTTAACAAGATCCCGTACCTAGTAGCAATGGATCATTGATGTCCCAAGGTGAAAATCTTGATATATTTATTGATGAACAGAGAAGTATTAATAAATTATAGTGAAATACTGTTCTGCGTCCTTAAGATTGTGTACAGTTTCCTCTTGGGAGACTCCTGGAAAGTCTCTCGGACCACCTCACAATACAAGGAATTTTGGTATGTGAATGCTCGCAATGGGTGAAAATTGGACCTACGGTCCATTCTGTCATGTTGCGTCTGTTGTTCCATGGGTGTTAATCTCAAACTTTGTGTTAGAACTGAGCGTTTGTACTGCTCTAAGTCATTAAACTGAAGCCTCTGATTAAGGTCTCCGCGATTTCAGGCACTTCATAAGGTTTGAATTTGATTCCTCAAACTGATTTCGTGGCTCGTTTTGGGATACGTTGCCGTGCATACTTACTTTTTAAAAGTGACGGAGTTATAACAATATTTCCATACTCCTAATGTGGCCAGATATAACTGTTGGAGATCATATAGGTAGTTCTACTGTTTAAATGGCGGAAATGCGCCTCGAGGTTATCAGTGTAAAGTTTTTTCGAAAGGTATATTAGTATTTTCAGGACAAAAGGTCTGAGATTTTTATTGTTCTTTGTAGCGGTAGGTCAATCTCAAAAATAAATGGCTTTGTAAGTCTTTGGATGCTGACTACATTAGTTTTAATGGATTCACCTAGCTGAAGGCGCTCGTCCTTGCATTCACACCAGATCACGAGTGGGAAAGCTTAACTTCGGAAATCACTAGCTAGTTTAGATCAGTCACTTCTCGATACATTGATGGCATATCAAATCTATCTTCGAACCTCCTGGCTTCTGACTCCTGATTTCACCAGTTGTGCATGAATAATAGTGGAAGGTGTTAAACGTTAAAGCGTTGTCAATTTCCAAATACCTGTGCCATCTCCATCTTCTTCTGGTATACTTCTGTGTCTTCATATCTTTGTTTCAAGAAGTGTTATAATCCTCGAGTAGATTACCCGATGAGTAAGCCCATTCATCATCGTGATTCCGTTTGATAGTGGATTCCGAACGTGCTTGCTTCGTCTTCTAAATTTTCCATTATTATATGAATATAGTTCTCTAGTTTGTATGCACAATAATTAATTCACCATTTTTTCTGCTGTAATTTATCTGAGACTTCGCCTAGATGTTCTTTCTCGGGTTTTGTCTACGTTGATGACTAAATATTATGGGTGAAAATTTAAAAGCTCGCCAATAAGAAATCAAGCGAAATCGTTACAAAATTCAGGAATTTACAGTTTGTAGTGATAAATTAATTTTAGCAGTGAAAAAGTCCCTAAAATCAATAGTTCTGTAAGTCTTTTACATTGATGATAACCTCATTTTCGCTACTGACCCTTCACTATCAGAAGGCGCTCTGCAAACGTTTGAACTATATGGCAGTTGTCTATATCTTTCTGGGCAACTATCACAACAACCAGTCTGTTTGGAATACGTGTTTTCAGCACATTGACAGTCTCTCCATTATATCTTCAAAGCACGTGATTACAACGTTTTTGAAATCGTCAATTAGCAAGGACTTGCAGCGTCGTCCATATTGGAATATCCGCAACATCTTTAAACTGGCGGAACAAACTGTGTTCCAAACATTCAACACTAATATCAACCTTGCTACTTTTGTCGTACACTAATAGTTGAAGCAGCCCGGTGAAATATGATGACCATATCACAAGGCATTCTGATGTGTGGTGGTATTCTCAATCGACACATAAATCCTAGAAGTTTTTTATACTCCTCTGTTCTCCTTTAAACATAATATTCCGCGTCACAGAATATTTCTACGACCTTTAAGTTTTAAAATGGCGAAGATCTCAATACAAGTAGGATTACACATCTAGCCACACATATTCTCTTACAAAGCAATTTTGCATAGTAACGAACAACGGACAATATAATAACGGTACATGTAGACATGAAATAATAACTGTAAACGTTCGAGCAACATCAAACTCATTCAGCACGTTGTAATGTGGGCCTAGAGTATCGTACGAATCGTGTCCTTCCTTCAATGGGTAGAGTTAGCACACTATTGACTTATTTCAATTAAGCTTTTGATTTCCTGCCTTTAGGTCCCTAGTATTGTAAAACACGACGATGAACTGCAGGAATCTATATTTCCTATGACAAATCACAAAGTATTTACATAATACAAATGCATAACTATTATTCTCCAATTCTTATATTTCGGTATATTTTGCCACGTAAAACGTCTACTCGTCTGGTTTCCCAGTCAACTCCATGTTTCTGATGTGCTGGAACTCCTCACTTCATCTTCCTTTTTGTGACGTCAACACTACGTTCCGCCGCGCACTACTTGCGGTCTTGCGAGTTGTGTCTACTACACCCGCTCCTCATTGAATTTCGAGCCTACAGACGCGTCGACCCTCGCCGCTCCATGGACAAAACGTTGTATATAAATCTGATGTCTGCCCAGTACTTAGGACGCTCTACGTCTCTTCTCTGCTGACAGCAACTTCCGCAGCCAACGCCGACATGCCGGACTTCTCCACTCGACGTTTCTTATCTGCACCAAAATACACAAGCCAACGTCTACTCCATCCTCAACGACGTCTGCTGAATTTGCCCCCTGTGTCTGTCCTGGCATCTTAACTAAGTGTGTGAACCAATATCTTGGTCAGTGCAAACAATTAGTTGTTTGATAAAAACTCTCACTGATTCTGTAGAATATGATAATGCTAAACTGAATACATCAATAATACATGGTTCTAGATTTATTCCTTACATTCCTAATGCTACAAAATTGATTATTTTTCTTCTCGTGTTTTCTTCTGTCATTAATAACACTACTCGGAATTTACACACGTACTTTTTATGTATACCCGTATAAATCACACGCACTGCAGCACTAATGCCAATTGTAAGCTTTCCGAAAATGAGCAACAATTTTACCGGTGGATCTGAAGTTATTTAATTGAATAACAACTATTATCTTAAATGTTATTAGTTTTATTGTGCCTTGGATTTTTTTTAGCTTGTTTGTTCATAATTCTAACACAGGACATTATCTGTTTCAGAATCAACCATATAAAGTCCAATATTTCTGAAGAACACATTTAGGCTGAAGGTAAGACGTCATCTATATTTATTATCAATGAGAGGTAAATTACACAGGTATGACCACGTCTGCAAGGCTAATGCATGCCACACGATTGAATTAATTGATACCTCTCACCTTCATGGCTGATCTTCTCTCCGTGTTAATTGTTGAATATGCAACTTCACAGTTATCTCATGTTCGGCTTTGGGGATTGTGTGGTTAGGACCGATAACACTACAAACTCACCTTATAAGTCAAATAGCCGTTTATGTAGTCATGAGCTTACTTTTTCCGTGTTAAGAGACACTCTATTGGAAACAATTTGTGTGAGCTGATGAAGGCGATGTTTTCATTTAGAAAATTAAATTGACATATTACCCTCTAATCAGCAGGTACTTGAACGTAATTCGTTAGCATAAATATAATGAGATTAGTGTTCTACATATGAACTGAATTATATTTGAGTGAAGCTGAAGACTGTAAAAGCGACTTCATTTCTGATTTATTACTGCACGTACAATGCGAAATTTAAGGTTTTTTATTCCAGTTATATATTTGCTCTACTTTAACTCTTGTACACTATATCTTTACTAAATGAACTACATTGTAAATGCTTTCAGTTTCAGCGTGGATTATTTGACTGAAGCCATAAGCTTATATTGTAAGTCTTATGTTGAAGTCGCCTCCAATTTGCCAGTAATTTACATCTGCAGAATATTTATCTACGAGAACTTAAGATTTATATCAGCCAGATAAGGGGGATGTAAATTAACATTACTTGAATGAATATGTTTTTAGGAATAATTTCGTATTTTCAACTTTTAAACGTTTTATGGAATTAAGTATTGTAGAAAAATCTCACTATAGCTAACAGCCCGCACACGTAGTGGCAAAACAACATAGCTCTACCCATGTATTATTTACAAATGCAAACGTATCTTAATAGTGGCATGATCAACTGAGAGGATTATTTGTATATTATTTTAAAATGTTAGCTAAAATTATGTAACAGGCAAGACTTAAGCATTCTGTGACTATTAGAACACATAGTGAAATAAAATTGTGCGAATTTGAAAATTACGTGGTCAGTTATAATGATAAGATCTCAAGCGATTACGGAAATTTTAAAACGATTTGATCCTTTCATAAGTTTGATGGAGGACTGAGAAGACGAAGATGTGTTTGCACGATATGCTTAGAATAATCTGGTCACATATTGACTTTTTGTGGCATTTACTAAAATCATATAGATCGAATAAACACAAGGCGATCTTTGTAAATAAAGGAGGACGGGGAATTAATATAATATGGAAGGAATAAGAAATCGCAACACCATTTAAGGTCTTAAATGGCCTAAAGATGTTCGGAATCGATTTAAGGTTGAGACGTTCCATGGATTTAACGCTCAACTGTTGGTGTTATTAGATAATGGGGCAGTATAGAAGCATGACAGTTAAAAGTAATTATATTACTCATTATCCTTCTTGGTGTTTGCACCTTGAAAGCTCATTAATTGAAGACGATTAAGATCTTGACTGTACGTGTGTATCGAAGATTATTTCTTTTTTATTGCTGACCAATATATGGTTATCCCCCTTTATCTGTCTGCTTTGCATCAAGAACCTAACGTAGAAATATTAATGGATTGGGGATCTGGACATTACAACCTTATAACAAAGAAGCGAGTCGTGTCGTCCGAATTGTTACGAAATTTTCTTTTGAAGCAAACTTGTGAACTTCAACTATCCGACAACTAATGATAGTATCTTTCTGGCATAGTAGACATACATCATGTTTTATGGGTATGATTAGTAATTTACAACATGTGCTT